TGTGCATTTTGAGAATATTACAGAGCCAGTCTTGTTCTGATTGTACTCTCTGAAGATAAGATTGCACCTTCTGCCAAGTGGAAAAACTGCACTTAAAAAAAAAAAACTTTATAGCTCCACATTGACTGAATTCCTGCTGAGCTCTGGCAGTCTGCACTATCGTGTGCTTGTTTTTTAAAATTTATCTCTGTGCACAGTGATATAGGTCATTATTATATGCGCTATCTAGAAGCATATTTTGTTTGCTTTGCAAATATTACGTTCCAGATCCGATTGAGAAAATAAAGGAATAAAGTGGTTGACCGCGTTCCCATCTGCTGTGCAACAGCCAGGCCCTTTTTTCCTGAGCGCCATGTCTTTCTGTGACCTGCTGGCTGCTCTGGAAACCGCAGCCCGAGCCCGTCGTTCGGGCCGCGCTCCCGTAGCTCCTTGTCCCTGACGCACCTGACGCAGTCTGAGCGCCGGCCTGGAGGGGGAAGGGCTCTTTCTCCTGGGTTTGATACGAGCTAAATTAAAAACACTGAAATACTGGTTATCATTTCCATGATTTTGTTTCCTTAAAAATGGATCAGAATGCTCTCTGGCAGTGACATGAACATTGACAGAGTAGGACTGGAGAAAGGATATAGAAATGTCATTGTCAAGCAAGCGAGCCTGCTGGATGTTTTATCTGCTTTGGAGATTAGTGCAGTGCAGAAGAAGGTTATTCAAGTTCCCAAGCCTCTCTGTCTCTTAATCTTGGTATCCCACTGTAGCCAATGAAGGTCTGAGTGCTTCTGATTTTCCAGACTCTCAAACGCTCTTCAGCATTGGTTTAGAAAGAGACGGGACAATACCCAAGCCAGAAGCTAGCGATAATATAACAGTAGGTGTCCAAGAGGTCCTTTATCATTCAAATAGCAGGAGCTCGCAGGAATAAAGTGCAGGGCTAGATGTTGATTGTAGGCGTAAGGGAGATCATTGGTGGTGGGAGATGTGTTCTCAAAGCAGGCTGGCCTTTGTTTTGTGGAATTCTGCAACACAGGGGTCTTTATTTTGCTTTTTGTCCCCCGCGATTCGTCCGTATTCCCGTTTGTCCCTGGCCTAATCGGGGGGATGTCCTGTGCTAATCCTCTCAGGAATGTGGCTTCGGCTACGGGGAGGACGCCCAGTGTGTTCCGTGCCGGCCGAACCGCTTCAAGGAGGACCGGGGCCTGCAGAAGTGTAAGCCCTGCCTGGACTGCGCCCTGCTCAACCGCTACCTGAAGGCCAACTGCAGCACCACCAGCAACGCCATGTGTGGGGACTGCCTGCCGGGGTGAGTGGGGGGTATCGCTTGGGCAGCCGAGAGGGCTGGAGCCAGGTGGGGTCTCCTTCTTTTACACTCGGCGCTTCTAAAAGCCGCCGAAAGCCACGTTCCACCTATTCTATTAAAACCCCCAAAAGAGGCCTGAGCCCGTTTGTCCAGCTAAAGTTAAACCGGAGAAAACTAAGAGGAAAATTTAGCACAGAGCCATCAGGGCAGAGCTGCTTGTCCATCCACTGGGTTTGGAAACTAGTTTGCAGACCTGCCTTGTTTGTTAAAAATGACGTCTGTCGCCATGAACATCGCAGACAAGCGGACTGGAAAACTGAGTGGCTTCAGGCCATTTCGCTTCATGGCGTTTTCCAAAGGCACGCCGCACAGCGAACGAGGATCAGCTGTACCAGTGTTCAAGGGTCGTCTCGCCAACTAATAATGGATTAAACTGAGAAGTAATCCCAGGGGTTTGCTGCTGTTGTGTTTGTTCCAGGTTCTACAGGAAGACGAAGCTGAGTGGGTTCCAGGATATGGAGTGCACGCCCTGTGGGGACCCTCCGCCCCCCTATGAGCCTCACTGTGAGTGCGGTCAGCTCGTTACTACATGTACAGGGTCTGGGGAGATGCACCTGCCTTCTAAATAAAACAGAGTACGACCTACAGTCAAATCTCACTTCCAAAAATCCAGATTCTCCAAAGTGAATGGGAACCTATCACCCTATTCTTAAAAATGCACCCACTAACTAGGAGAGGCTGGTTTTTAACCGAGGGACTGTTTATAAAGGAAATCCGTTTCCTAAAATACGACAGAATGGCAAGCTCTCTTAACAAGGTTCAATACTAGAATCTGGTCACTAGAATCTGAAAAGGGGCCTCTGGCCTGGCACGCGCATTCTTGGATGTCTTTCTGTCTGTCCTCTCTTCTCTCTCGGGCTCTGTCTTCTGCTTCCTTCTCTACGCCGTCTTTCTGTCCTGCTTTCTGGACTGTTGATGACTCTGAATGATTAACAACGAACTTAACTAAGGTGAATTCTGCACCATTTCTGCAGTCACGAGCGATTCAGGGTCTGCGTGGGAAAAATGGGTTTGCGGGCTTGTGGGTTTAGCCAGAGTGTGACTTCCCAGTGGTAGCCGAGCTAGCAGCCGGCCGAGCGCAGATCTGGCAGGACCTGTGTGGAGCAGCAGAGCCAGGTCTGGCACTCCTGCAGGAGTTCTGGGAAGCTGTCTGGATTGAAACGGGAAGATTACTGCAGTTCAGTGAATCCTGCAATGGAAAATCTGTGACGTGTGAAGGGTTTGAAAAGATTTGAGGATTTTGTGTTGCACGACATCCCTGCGTAAGTGTCCCAGAGCCGCCTCCTTCTGGAGTCTTTGGGATTTGAGTTCAAGGTTCGACTCACTTTAAAAAAAAAATCACCAGGTGCTTCTGTCTAGAGCCAGTTAAGCAATGTAGCAGTTTGTAAAACCTAAGAAAAGGTATTACAGAGAATGGAGCTGTTTTCATTCCAAATGATTATGCCTCATTAATGTTCAAGTGTATAGCCTGAATGAGTTGGCCTCCCCTGTGTCCCAGTAGCAGGCTTATGGTCTTCTAATCTTGGAAGGTTTCGATCTTTAAAGGAGGGAAGGCTTGAACATTCATGGAGAAAAATGGCAGCTGTGTTTTCTGAATGAATGAATCAGACCTGCTGTAGTGCCCCTATAATTCTCACAATTTGTAACCCCTACCATGCAGAAGTCCTTACAGGAGTGATTTTATTGTAGGTCGTAAAAAAACAACGGGTAGACTATTTCATAAGTCACACCCCAGAGGCAAATGTGCAACTTTACATAAAACAGTAAATCTTGGCAGCAAGGCAGAGACCTTGGGTCTTTAGAAGTGAAAAGGCTTAAATTATATTCACACTGTTCATCTTGGCCTGTTCTGGATGTGTTTTAAGAACACAGTTTTCTGAACATCCAGATGAGACCTCCTGGTGTTGCACCTGGAGGCAAGCAGATGAAGTGGACTCCTGGAACTCGAGCAGAAGCCTGACCGTTGTTTACAACTTCCCATCGACAGAGCTGAGAGGGGCACCTTTCTCAGTGTGCTGCCCAGGAGCCAGTCCCACAGCCTTCCAGTTTGGAGTTTACAGCCCTAACTACTCTTCTACACTGCTGAAAATATACCAAAACATCTCAAATTCAGCTTGTGTTTGCTTGTCTAGCAGTTCGTTGTTTTCAGCATGACTCGCACCCTTTTCTCTCCCACCGAATACTGGCGACTGGGGGTTTCCCTGCTTGCTAATGGCCCGGTGCCTAAAACTAGCACCCAGGTGAGAGAACAGCAGGCTTGAAGAGAGACAGCAAGCAGACAGCAACACGTTGCACAGGTCATTGATTGGTTAATGCAGTGAAAATTAGTCTTGCCAGTAAAAAATATATCACTGGCCAAATCAAATCATGGATTTGGATCATGGAGGGGAGGAACTGTTTTCCCTGTGGTTCCTGTAAAGCAGTCATGTACAGCTAATAGAGCTGAACGAGGGGGAGAAAAAGTAAAGTTTTTTTTAAAGATTTTGATCTACAGAAAGAACTTTGTTTCCCCAGATTCTGAGGGCATGCTTTTTCCAGTAGGTGCCAGTAGGTGTTTGCTGGTGTTTTAGGAGCCCTGAAATAGCCAGGGATTGAAGCTGATTTTGGAACAACATCTCTTTCTTCTTAGGAGGGGCATCTTCTAGTTGTGTTTAGTTTCTAATCAATAAGGAGACTTCAGATTATGTTTTGCATCATGTTGTTTACATGATTTCTTTGGGCTTGGCTGTGCTTCACTCTGATATTACTATAGTATGCCACAGATGTGTTCTGGTAGACTGGATTGGTACTGGCAACTTCCTGCCTGCACTCCCAGCAGTGACCAAAGGTGTCACTCTGGAGACCTGCCTCCCTTTCATGAAGATTCCCCCCACACACTGAAATTTCCGAAAGCCTGTTGTTTGGTCCTAACAGGTGTGCCTGCTTGTAACACATAACCTCCAGTCTTGTCTGGTGTATGGAAATGTATAATAACACTCAAGGAATTCTTCGACGGGGACTTAACTGTGGCACCAGGGAGTTGGTGCCCAAGAGTTCAATGGATGATTTTAATAAGCAAGGAGCAGCATACATTAATCTGCTACAACTGCACACACAGCTGCTGAGCACTCTTTCACCTGGATCCTAGACTAACCTGCTTTTTTGTGTTTGAAACATTTGTGTTTCCTCCTGAAGTTAAACAGAAAAAAGCATTTGTCTTCATAACTGGCTTTTCTGCCTAAACTTGAAATGGAACACAATTGTGATCTTCAAAGGATTCAGGGATTTAACAAATAGATAATTAAACAAAAGGAATTTTATCTTTATTCATTTAGTCTCACTCCACCCTCTACTAGAAGCTAAAATACACACAAAGGTTTCAATGATCTGTTCATGAGAACTTTCCACTTAAATTTGGTCAACTGGAAAAAACAGTTTCTCCAGTCAAGCAGGACCATAAATGATGGGTATGTTTTCTTTGAAAGTGTAAGAGCTTGCACATTACTGTTTTATAAATTTACCCATGCCTTTTCACAAGAGCTAAACAGTGAATTGGCTGTTTCCTTTGTGCATTAAGGAATATGTGGGTAAGACAGGAGAACAATTTCTGTTTGTTTTCAGAACTCAATGACCTGTGTTCAGCTCCCTTGTGTGCAAGACACAGAACACAGGTTTGGGAATGCACTAAGACATTATTGATTCTTACTCTCCTATTTGCTGTGTAGCATTTTGTTTCAAAACCCCCTTTCTTATATCTTTCTTACATCTGCTTATCATTGCCCTGCTTTCACTAATAATTCATCTCTGAAAGGAAGTAATAGTTAGGAAAAATGGTTTTGATTTAAATGTGTGTGTTTGCAGTGGCAGGACTCCTGGCAGCCTTCAGTGTTGCAGCCTTTTTCAATTTATCTGTAATTCGCTCTAAAACTGTGCTTAGATCTTCCAGACATCATCATGTGGGTCTAGTCACAGCTGTGGTGTTTAAAGAGATCTTGATACTTAGTGCTTCAAAACAAACACAAAAGCACTAAATGGGCCCAGATCACATGGAGAATGTGATTGAAGAAAATTCTCAAGTTCTCTTGCTAGGTGTGAACACATAAGCTGTTAATTTGAAGTACACATGTTCAAGTGCGATATAAACCATGCATTTATCAAAACTACAGCTTGTGTATCTTTTCTTCTTTGCCCTGATCAGGAATGTAGTAAGGTGGGAGATGCTTGTGGCATCTGTGCCACTCAGGAGCACAAAAACATGAAAATCGTGCAGATATGGGGGTGAAAGTAAACCGTTTCTGTGGGGAGACTGATTTTCACATTCTTTCGCTGTGGAATCCCAGCTGCCTTTATCCCCTCAAGGCAGATTCAGATCACACTCTGCTCTTCCTCAGTGTGGTTCTTCATTTGAACAAATACATCAAAACAAAGGAGGAGATCCAGAAGCAGTTATTCAGCCCCTCTGCACTCCTAATTGATATGGCTTCAAACTGCAGAGCTTTTGTGATTTATCTTTTATAGGCCGGTGCAGGGAATGTTACAATCAAAGCACTTTTTTTAAGGAGTGTTGCTCAGAGATACGATCAGCAGGTGAATGTTCTTTCATGGTTTCTCCTTTATCTGTGTTTGCTGCAGGTGTGATGGCCTGATAAATGGGAATGTTGTAGCTGAAACTAGTTTACAGAAAGTTGAGCCCTGGTGGTGGTTTATTAGACATCCTTTGTTTGACCTTTTTATTTATGTCTGTGCTGCTCAGTCCAAATGAGAAAACACAAAAGCTCACACATGCTTTCTGGAAGACGTTGTACACTGCTATGTGGTTTTGCATGATGTGTAAACCCATATTTCTGATAAGAGACATCCTGTCATCAGGTTATTTATATGGGGGCTGGTTAGCTGTGCCTCTGTTCCATGTGAACAGTGCACCAGAACTATTACTATGTAGCCTGAGCTTATCAGATCTCAGAAACTAAGTGAGACCAGAACTGGCCAGTATTGGGATGGAGACCTTGGAAAAGTAGGCTGCTGCTGTAAGTAGTATTGGTGGACCAGTAGGTGGTGCTCTTCCTTCTACGTCCAGATGGCCAAACAAGTGGCACAGTTTCATGTCCAGGGGCACTGGTGTAGAAATTTGAATGATGAATTAAATTTGAATTAAACTGAGGTCCTGGCTACATGGACATTAAATGTCCCGTGACGTGCTTGGTTAAAGCAGTGAGGTAAACCCTGGTGTCCTGAGGCTCAATCTGGCATCCATCAAGAATTGTCCCTCAAGAATTGTCTGCATTCTCCCCCCTGTGGCTGCTGTGGGTCACCCAGGTGGGGCTGTACCTTCAGCCTGAAGCTAATTCTGCATGAAGTAATGAAAGCTCTTATGTAGAAGAGAAAGTGTACTTGAACTTGCCCAGTACGATGAGATCTTTGTCAATGGTCTTTAATGCAATTGGACAGTGTCATTGTTTTGGTGAAATGTATTCTGAAATTCCAGTGTCCACTCTGTCAATGTCTAATAATCAAGGATACCTCACTGTTGCTTTTATGAACTGACTGGATGTGGGGTTAGGAGCTCATGCATGACAATAAGAATTATCATGAAGAATTGCTCCTATGTCCTTGTAAGAGAATCTTCTGTGCTTTTTGAGCAGACTGGTATACACTGTAGTGGGAAAGTGAAGTGATTACAAAAATCTGTGCTTGCAGATGCAAGTTGCCTTGTGGGATACCAAGCGATTGCAAAAAAGGGTGTGGTGGTTTTTGAACTGATTCTCATGAGATGTTGATTAAGTGTGTTTTTTTTCCTTTAAGATGTTGTCAGTCGACTCATTTAAATGCTGTAACCCTAATAAGCAGTTTAGTCTTGCAATGATGTTTTATTTTACTGCTTTAGCTGTGTTAAATCGGAAACTCCAGGACTGCGTTCAGCAGTGGAGTTTGGTATGGCAGCCTTCTTCGAGGTTAAAACGTGCAAGGCTAAGTAACAGTTCTAGGCAGCAGAGAATTTCAAAGACAGTGACGCTTTTTTAAAAATGTTCTTGAAATGATTTCTAAGAACAAAGACAGCAGAAAATGAGAGCAGAGCAAAGTGTGATAGGTGGCGTCTCTGAGGATGGGGTTTCTGGGACAGCCCTCAGTTGACCTTCCTTCTTTGTTCATCTCAAATCTTGTTTTAATAAGCTCTTATCACTCTGTTTGTGTACACTACAGTAAATGCATTTAACTATTAGCAGTGCAGAGAGATGCGGTACCTGTGGTTCAAGATTCACAGGTTAAGCTTGTAAATTAATGCACACTATTTTACAACTAGCTCTTTTCATGTTTTTTGACATATCTGGAATGTTTTTTTGCCAGTGGAATGTACAAATATTCTTATCCGTTAAAGCAGAATATCACAGTGCCTGTGCCCAGGCTAAAGTAATGTTTACATTGCATGACAAAGAGTGTTTGGAATCTAAAGGCCAGATCTAGCTTTGCTCAATGATTAATCTACTGCAAAGCAAACACGAGATGAAGGGGGGATTGAAAACGACATTTTGCAATTCAGAATGGTTCTTTCTTTCGTTGTACTTTTTTGTACCATTTTGCAAACACTCCTGTTGCACTAGTCGAGTGGAGGCATGGGAGAAGCACCCAGCTGGACTGTTTACTTAGTGTTGCCAGCAGTGGTTTTCTGTGGCACAGACCTGCTGTGTCAGAGCCCCACTGTTACCCCTGCTCTCCGGATCTGACCGAACCCAGTGAGATACCTGACACAGCCGAGTGGCAGCTGTAATGCTAGCTGTGTTGGGCCAAGGTGAGCTCACTGGGAATGTTTAGTGAAGCAAAACTGATTCAAGATGCCCTTTACATGACCCTTATCATTTGTGATTCAGCCTTCTCCACTCAATACGCTATGCCCGGTGATCTGAGAGCCATTTCAATACTTCAGCAGGGTGCTCATATCCTGGGGCAGGGGGCTGTAAAAAGTCACATCCTGGAGGAAAAGGGAAAAGGATGCAAATCTTAAAGGTGTTCTCAGGTGCAGAATGGTGCTGAGTGAGATTACAAAAATAAAGGAGGGGAACACCAAATCGTGCATTACTGGAGTGCAGCAGTACCCCAATGCACAGCACCCAGCGGGGGAACAAGCTGTACCCCACTGCACAGCACCCAGCGGGGGAGAGGGCAGCTACTGCATCTCTCCAGCTAAAGGAGGGGGTGACTAGGAAGGTCAGGTGGCCCCAGAGCCCAGAATGGAATTGAGCCAGGTCACCAGGGCTAATGAGGAGCAGCACTGACTTCCTGCCACACTTCTCCAGTCGCAGAAGCACGGCTTAGTGTTCCAGCCGTCTTTGAAGCCCCGCGGGTTTACATTATCCAGACCTTTTTAAAAAAAGGCATCTCCTCTACCCTGTCATTAACTAGAAAAGCTTCCTTGTTTTTCCCAGAAGTGGTTTTGGTGAGCGAGAGGTGGTTAAATTTGATATTGTTTGGCTGGCGAAGTCCTTGTAAATAAACAAAACTGTAACTTGTAGATTGAAACCATGATGATGAGATTGTGTCTAATTTGTGTGTATGCGTGCTTGTGCTTGCAGTTCCTGGCAGAATCAAGACGTGGCCAGAGAGTCCACTTCTGCTTTTCCTTCAAATATGTGATTTGAAAAATATCTCCCAGAGAGGAGCCTGTGCCCTGAGGAGTAGATGTGAATTATTCTGCTTCTCAGGTTAGAAAAGGGGGTGGTCTACAGGTACCTTGACAGTACAGGAATCCTTTGTGCAGCCCTGTAAGGCACGCTTTGTAAACTGGTTGATACGAATTCATATAATTACACATAATGTATTGAAGCAGGATGTGACTGGATTACAGGCTCTTCTCTGCCTTTTTTCAAAATTCAGATCTTTACAGATTAAAAGCACTGCTAAATAACAAGACTTTCAAGAAGATGATGTTTGAGGAATCGGTTTCAGGTTCGTGTTTGACATGTCTGTGCATGGAGTAAGGGTCAAGTCGGACCAGCTGCAGAAACTTGCCCTCTTGACACTTCTGAAAACCCACAATGCCGAGTGTGTGACTGGCTCAGTCTCAGTCAGACCCCCTCTCTCTGGGTCGCGGGAAAACTGGAGCCTTCCCCAATCAGAACAGGCTGGAAAACAGTAGCTTCACTAATCAAGTCCATTCATTCTGGCCTTTAAGCCTTTAAAAATAAATACTGCACTAATCTTTGGTGACGGGGAGAAATCTTTGCTGGCATCAGTATTCACTGTATTGATCTTATGTGTGTCTGCAATCAAGCAGTTTTCATTAACCACGTGATAAACATCTTGGCTATATTTGTCGTGGTAGAATGTGGATAGTTAACATGTCGGGCTTCACGGTGAGGCAGTGTCAGAGCACGTGTTGAGGCCCAGGCTGTACCTGCAAACAGCAGGCAAGTACGCTTGGCAATGGGTAGTGTACTAGGTGTTAGTACTGAGGGACAGGAAACCGAACTGATTCAGTGCACAGGGTTGAAGTGGTTAGCGAGAGAGGCCAGGAGTGTTTGTGAGAGGAAATGCCCTGAGCCACAGTGGGGGAAATATTTTACCCCTAGGAACTCAAGGTTAATTTCCACCATGTCAAAGATCGCGAAGAAGGCAGTGGGGTTGAATTCCTGTGGATGTTGAGGTCAGGAATTGTGACTTACACTTTGCTGATGGGATTCTGTCTTTATTTTGACTTTGTTTTTTTATGTTTTCTGAAAAGCTTTTCACTTAGATCTTTTTTTTCTGTAATAAGGTGTAGTTCGTCCGTATTGTATATGGAAACACGATTGGTCTGTACCTGTGCGAGGGAGGCGAGAGTCGAGCCAGAGAACAGGAACAGAGAGGGGTGAAGTTCAGCCCTGCAGGAGAGGGGCATGGCTGACGGTGTGCCGCCTCTGTCCGCAGGCAGCAGCCGCGTGAACCTGGTGCGGATCTCCTCCCCGGCGTCCAGCCCGCGCGACACCGCCCTGGCTGCCGTCATCTGCAGCGCCCTGGCCGCCGTCCTGCTGGCCCTGCTCACTCTCTGCGCCATCTACTGCAAGAAGCAGCTGCTGCAGAAGAAGCCCAGCTGTAGGTCTTCTCCCGGCCGCCCCGTGCCCGCTGCCTGTCCAGGGTCACACATCTCTGCGCCGTCCACGTCCACTCAGCAGCGTGCGCACTGTCACAAGTGAAAAACGTGACCACAGGCTTCTTTATGTACTTTTTTAAGCTCAGCGGAGCATTCCATTGTAAAGTCCTCTGCTTTATAGAAGTAAAATTGATCATTCTGATAACATACCAGCACTAACCACAGTCTCGCGCCTGCCTGTCTGTGTGCACAGGGACGTCAAGAGCCCCGGAAGCCCCCTGCAGTGGCGCGGAGCTGTCGTGCTTCGAGAGGCAGCAGGGCCCCGAGTTTTCTCTGCGAAGCTGCTGCCACTGCCACCAGGACACGGCTCAGGCACGCGGTGAGTCCAGTGCCCAGAAACTCTGCCCCGGCCTTTCCTTTACCTCCCTGCACGGGACGGCCCGTCAGGCTGCGAATCCGGGACCGCCTGCCCCGTGTCTTGCCAGGGGTGCGCGGGCTAAACCACAGCGCCACCAGGTGACGGCTTTGGGATGGAACTCCTGACTCAGATCGGCTTCATGTGAGGCCAGGAGATCTGGTGGGAAAGCTGCCCGAGAAGCCCAGGGTAGAAAAGGAGACTTAATAAAATAATGTTTGTGCAGGGAGTGGGGGGTGATTGTAGGGCTGTTGGCTCTGGGCTTCCACACTTCTTGACTCGTGACCCTTAACTCGGGCAGGTCCCGTTCACCTGATCCCATCCCTGTGGTGCGAGGAGACCTGCAGTCTGGGCTGCAGCAGCGACACCTGTCCCTTCCATTCCCAGAACACGCTGGATGTAGGGTGAGTGTAGCTTGATTCTGTACTGGCAACAGCGATACATTCTGCATCAAGTGTCCAAGCATCTGCTAAGGCTGCTGGAAAGAGGGTCTGGAAAACAAGGACCACAGAGCTTCAAAGAAACATGTATGAAGTCATTAGAGAAGTGAAGGTGAATGTCTGACTGTACAGTCTGTAAACTGCAGGCTACCAGCTGCAATTGTAGAATAAATCATGATTTCGTCTGCTTTTTCCTGGTCTTTGCTAAGTGTCTGTACAAGAGCTGGCCAGTCCTTGTCCTGGAGGGAGGGCGAGCTGGCAGGTTTTCGAGGGCTCCTGGCCCTGGCGTGTGAGAAGCTGGCAGAAAGTGTTCAAATGGTCCAGTTAAGCCAATAATTAGCCGATTGGAGTAAAGTCCTGCAGGCGCACCCACTGCTCGGGCCCAGAGCGTACAGGCCTGCGCTTGGTGCTCGGTGGCGAAACAGACATTCTCTGTTACAGAACAGCTTTCAGGAGAAATCCCTCAGCCAGAGGCATGGGCTGTGGTTCGAGTTAAAGAAGCAACACGCTGTGTAAGGCTGCCTGATTTACGGTTTTGCAGGAACGTGGATTCTGTGGAAGAGCATGTCCCAGCCTCCCCGAGAGCCCGGAGCCGCTCTCCCGCCAGAGGGCGTGCGGACGCGTGGCCGCTGAGGCGCGGCTCGGCCGCCAGCGACAGCCTCAACCTGTCCCGGGCCAGCCTGCAGGACGCAGAAAGGAACGAGGAGACCATAGAGGCAGGATTCGCCCTGGCAGGAGCGCCCCCTGCAGGCTGGCGGTTCGGCGTGCCCCTGGACTCTCCAGCCGGGGAAGGGGGGCCCGTGCCAGAGCGCGGAGTTTGAGGGGTGAGTGTTCCCCGTTCCGAGGGCAGGCAGAGTTTGTACAGTGATTCTCAATTCAGATGCACAGCCTTCTGCGTCTGCTTCTGGACCCTTTTTTGCAAAAGAAGCTGTTCACAAAATATGTATTTTACTTCTTCAGTTTTATGAGCAGTATGTTGGTATTGCGCTCACTTCTAACACTCGAGTACAGTGTTGCTGTATTGTGCTCAGTATTAAACAACCCATGAACACTGTCACCTCTGTTAGTATGTGACACAAGGACGCAGTGCAGATTGCTTGGAAAGGCCTGTTTGATGGCAGTGGCTCTGGACCAGCTCCACCGCTCACTTCCACTGGAGTCTTCATAGACACACAGCAGGCGCTCATGCCTGGAAGGAGAGAGGCTGTCCTGACAGTTTCCCAGCAGGACCGCCTGGCAATGCCAGCGAGAGGCTGCAGAACCCTGACCCTAACTGCAGAGGAAGACAGCGAAGCGGCAGAGACGCTGGCTGTAGCTCCGGCTGCTGGGATTTCAGGCTGTACCTTGACGGAGCAGTTTTGAAGGCTGGCTTGTCATTGGGTTTGATTGATTCCTGGAGCAATTCATGTGCCAGGATGCAGGAAACACCTGTGATTGACCAGGCCTCTGTGGAAACCGAAATGAGCCGTAAAACTCTTGAGCTGTTCACCTCTGGCACAGTCCGGCCCTGGCCACTGCCACACAGTCCTGTGAAACATCTGTACATTTCTAAAACTGTTCCCAAGTACAAGAGGCAGGATAGATTTTTAAGCACTAATCTAAAATTGTTTTCAGGTTTCCATCTGTATTTAAAAGTGAATGGGTTTGCTTAGAAGCACTGTAAACAAATAGCACCTCTTTCAGGTTGTCCTACGTTTTTTCTGAGGTGCCTTTGTCTGCTTGTGTATTTTCAGATGAAAAAAAGCACACTGTCTCACGTATCCATTCCCAAAACCTCTCAAGGTGTATAATGTCTGTTCTGTCCGTCTTTCCCCCAGGCTGATATCAGAGAGAGGCCTGGCGAAGAAGATGCAGTGAGACCCAGTTTTAGGTCGGCCTGCCAGTGCATGAACCCTTTCAGAGGAAAGCAAGGGGCACAGTCTTCTCAGGCCCTTGAGCTCTGCAGCCTTCCTCACGCCATCTGAAGAGACTCTGTAAATACACACAAAGGAATGAGCTTCCCTGTGACCCTGCAGGAGTCATGACTGAAATACTGAAGGGCCAATGGCTGGTCAGGGCAAGGGACCAGCCCAAATAAAGTGCAATGAAGTTGAAAGGAGACTGTTTGCTTTGTGCCAGTGGTGCAACCCTTGCTAAGTCAATAGAAGAAAGCTGTTATTCTGTATTTGATGTTCGAGCATGAGAATGTTCCACACCTAGTCCACTTGATTGCTTGGGTAGGAAAGTTGTCTGGGACATTTTTCAATGGGCAGTTGAATGTGTTATGTTACACGCTTTGTTAAAAGTGAATAAATCAAAACGGCTCTTGAAAGGATGAAAAGACCCAGCTCGCATAATAATCTTCTCCAGCAAGCTAATGCACTGAAGCTTAAGAAAAATACTGGAGGTGGAAGGGCCACTGGGGAACGTTTGCATACGGTACACATCTGTTTTATTGTAGATATTGTAATATAGAAAATAGATGGTCAATATTTTTGTAATGCAGAGTTCAGTGCCCAGTACAACCTACAGGTCTTGTTATCTGCTCATAAGTAGTGAAAGTGTTTGGCTTGTGTACACCTTTTCAATGAATCTACACACTTTGTGCATTTTTCAATAAAGTCTGCAAACCATGAATCAGACTTCAAAGAGCTACTTTGTCTCAGATCCTACAGAGGCCTAACAGGTTTTGGTACCTCTTCATTCAGTGTTTTTTTTTTAACCCACGTCTGTTGATATTATTAACATTAATTGCTGTCTGTGATCCCCCATCATGACTTCCAAACCATGCTTGCATCAGGACATCATAGTTTCCCTGCCTGGGAAGGCTTCAGGAAAACTCAGACAGTACCCCACACACCTGCTAACAAAATAAACACTGATGCAGAATGAAGCATCTGATAAGGCAAATGTGAAGATGACAGGTCACATTTCTCAGGACTAAATGTAAGAGGAAAAAATAATCTAAGTCTAGTTTTAGGGGAAACAGCTTTTATAGCACAATTATTGAGCACACTTTAAAAATTATGTAAAAATCTGTCAGATGTGAAGTTTTTCAGAAAGCACCCCAATAACCCAAGGTGTAAATTTCATTTTACTGGGACTCAACACGAGGATGACTCCTGCAAATGTTCAGGCTGGTCTCAGAAGAATGCAACGCTTTCCAATGAGCTGCACCTCGCGTTTGCGACAGCCAATGTGCTTCCAGTGACCCTAGTTCTCATTTTTCGGATGATATCTATAGCATTACGTGGTCTCAGAAGACATTTTATTTAGTTAGACTTTAAAAAGGGCAATTTTAAATGTAATCCTGGTCCTCTGACTATGATGTGAACGCAAAAGAATTTTCACTTTGTTGTGGGCGCTTTGAAAGCTCAGGGCTCGAATTCCTCTAACATCCCTCCAAGCAGTGATCCTCTTGTATTCGACTAATCCCTCTTCTCTTAACTCGGGAGACCGAAGTTTAGATTACAACCTGCAACACATTCCATTTCATAGACTGCAGCTAGTTGATCGGAGACAAAAGGGCCTTTTTAAAGCCCTGTGCACTGCACTGCAAAGCAAACTGTGCTGTGCAGGGGCAACAGTTAGTTTACACAGCGCTGTTGACTGAGGCTTAGTTACCCCTTAGTTACTGACAATTGTGCGGTCCCTTCAGACTGTGGCGCTGTTTTCAAAGACTGACACTCTGAAAAGTACCTCATAATTAACACAGCACTTTTTATTGACTGTGTACACAGGAAGAATGGAACTCCAAGGCAGATATTAAACCTAACTTTCATTTTAAAAGTTTACCCTTTCTGAATAAAAAAAAAAACTTCAAATCACAGCCTTATATAAAAAAAACACACTTTTGTGTTAAAAAATTTGTTGGCAAATTCCAAAATGGTTTAACAATAAAACCTTCCCAGGTTAAACTGGTGTGCTGATGGTTTCGAGGTGTGTCTGACACCTGGACTATCTGCGCTGGCCACCGTGGCCCAGCAGTATCATTCGGGTCTTTCTGAAGACACACATCTCGCGCTCACCTAGTGCGTGTCCTGCACTCGTCTGCCCATCTCATTCTCCAGCCCTCGGAATCGCCTCGAGACGCCGAAATCCCATCCATGGGATCTTTCTTTCCAGCTCTTGGAAGGTTCGACTTGAATTCCCATTCTTTTCAACAGTTATCTTCCATCAGTTGTGAAACAATGCGTGTTAGACCTGCCTGAACCCTGAATTGCTACAATAAGCTTCAGAGTGCACCTCTGGAAGCTTACAGACCTGGCAGAAAGGGCAGGGAAGCCACCAAGCGAAGTGTTAGCAGATACCAGCTGCACACCATGATCTATCTCTCTGCCCAGACTGAACAGCTTTCTTCTGAGCTGCAGAGCAGGCCTGCTCCTTAGACTCCTTAGAATCTTGTGCTGCACAAGGGCAATAACTCTCCTCTTTCCCTCCATATGGTATGAAACAACCCCTAGCACTAGCAGGCACTGTATTATAACAGCAATAACGAAACAAGAAAACAATATTGCGAAAAGGGCTCATTCCACAAATGGTATGGGGTTAAATTTAATGGAAGGAAAGAATGTGATTTAGAAAGCACGAGCATACACCTTTTAATAATCGTGCTGGAACTGATGAAATTACAGGTAAAACTTGATTTTGTGGTGAAACGCTTCTTTATGTAAAACCGCAGATGAGCAAAGTCTCTCAAAGAGCAAAGCTGAGCCAGTTAGATCACTGTTTAAATGAGTCACACACACCGTTTTTTAAATCTCCACAGACCTTAGACAAAACAGAGACACCATATTTTTCTTTCCAAGTCAAAACACTGGCACAATGACTAAGAGCTCAGATTTATATTCTTCCTGTTTTACTGGACATGAACTAAAACACATGTATCAGAAGTCCTGAAAAATGTATTTCAATAAACATGGTCAGACCTGCAGTTTTCACACAAAAAAATTCCACGAGGAGCAGAATACTTATACTTTCTATTTAAATCAGGACCTTTTCTAAAGGTAGCGCATGGTTTGCGTTCATCAGACCATATACTGTGAAGGGCGGCAGTAGACAGTAGACAACGGTAGGGTGTTACTTCAAAAATAGCCCCCAAAAATAGCTTATGTTTAAAACAGTTTCAGAAATGTAAACGTTATGAGTTCAGTTCATTTCATTATGACCCAAGGTTTTTAATTTTACACAGTTGTTACTATTCTCTGTACAAAAAAAATATCCTTGATGGACCAGGACAGAAAAGTCTGACTTCCAACATTATACATAGTATTTCTTAATGTGTGTCTGAGCTGTTTCTCCTTGCAAAGGTGCTGCGGTACACCTGCTTGGCCGGCAAGAACACGGCACTCATCAACAACTGCAAATCAGAATCCGACAACAGCCACAGATCTCCACACCAGCAGGGCAGGCCATAGGAACCAGTCCTTCATATTCATCTGTCACCCAGAACAAAGCAACAATGTAGAGTCCAGGATTTAAGAGGTATAAAAACAATCCCTGAAATATTTTCATATTCAGTCTTTTTACACATTGATGGTTTCAGACAAACAGAAGTTAGTGTTGTCATTAACCAATACCCTTCTCTGTTAATTCCACTCCATGAGATTTGAGAAGTGCACACAGAAACGTGGTTAAACGGACAGAAAAGCAAACTCCATGTATCAAAATGTGGTGTGAGCTTAGAGTTCTGCAGATTCTTCTGCTTCGCATTCCTGTCACCCCTCTAATCAGAGATTTACAATCGGGCAGTTTATTTTCATTCAGCTAGTGACACAATGAAGGTGAGCTACCCGTTTCCCTTAATTCAGGAATGTTGCACATACTGCCAGAAAAGAAGAAAAGGATTTTGGAGATGACAAAGGGGGTCCTGTTCACTCAGAATCCATGAGGAAGCTTTCGAAGTCAGGATTCAAGTCTGCCACCAGTGCGTCGACCAGGTCTTCCACGGAGGGGGTCTTCTGGAGCATGCCTGCAAGACAGGACACAAGCCTGAAGATGACGGGGGTCCTCTACCTTACTAGCCATTCTAATAAAATACTTTGTTTTACAGTTCCTGAACACAGAATATGAGGTAGAGTGTGTGCACCAGTCAAGAAAGGACTAACAGTGGGAACTGGATCACTGCAGAGCGAGCCTGTTCACCACATTCACTCCTCCCCAGAATCAGCGCTGTATTTTTTAATGACTCATAATAATAAACAGAACACAGCACACACAAAACAGAAAACATGAAATAACAGGTTGACAATGACTTGATCTTCTTCAAAGCTACGGAGCATAGTCAATTTAAACGAGTGGCAAAAAAAGTTACTTTCAAATCTGAGAAACCTCAGTTCAAAACACTTGCAAGTCAATACTGCATGGATGTGATGTGTTACAAGCCTATAGAGATTTGAAATCAGGTTCAGCTTTGACGGGGATAAAAACACTGCAGCTCTGACACTGTTCACCAGATGAAGGGAGTCAAACCAGAAGCTTTTGCAATAAATCTGAGTTCATATACTCTGATGTATATTTCTTTCATCTGACTTTCAGATTTATATAGTATAATATATAACTACCTTTAGAACTTTTGTGGAATTTCACTGAAGATAAATCATGTTTTGCGGTTACTTGCAAAAAACAATACCAGTTTGGCCTGAAGTAATTTTTTGAAAATCCCTCCCTGGGCTGACTAGTTCCTCTGCCAGTGCTCCGCAGAGAAGCAGCTCTGAAGAGTGATAAATCACAGCTCGTGTAATAAGCACAGGGCAGACAAAAGAGGCATCTGCCGTCCCCAGACTGGCTGGGAGCTGCTCACTTTATCACGCTGAGACAGGGGTAACGTACCACACGGCCTTCTGGAGAATCGCACGCACATGACAGAACTGCTTTTCTTCCAGCGTGGTTGACACATTTTGCACGATTAACACACTGTGTGGGCTACGCATGTCTGATGCCTCATACCCGACTCAGAAAGGCCTATAACTTGGAGAGAACAACCTGCACCAGGTAAAGTCAGACTTTAATTACGTCCCCTTCGGAGAACCCACAGGGTTCCATTACTAACAAGAGCCCGTGTAGTCCTAGGAATATCTGCCTGTGTTAAGTATCTGGCTGCTGACTCTTGAACGGAGTACACACTAATCCAACCACTCCACTTCCCCGTGGCTTTGAAGTCGGCTCGCTTCCCCTTGCACGGCTGCCAGCGCAAACACCCCGTCCCTCCCCTCCCCTCTTCCTCTGAGGTCAAACCCACCACACTTCTCACCAGCTCCACACAGACCCGGCAATGAGTCACTCAGGCTGGGACTGGACAGGGAATGTGAGAAACCCAACAAAAACGGAAAAACTGGCAAGCAGAAGAAGACAGGCTTTTTTTTCTTTCTTTGAAGAATTTGTGAAGGCTGTACTAGTTTGGAGACCCCGCTGTCCCATTCCAAGTTCACTCCCAGGAAGCTCACTGAACGGGTGGAAGCTGATACTGTACTGGGGCCCCGGATTGCAGTTTATCAACTGGCACCGTATCTGAATGAGATCAGACCTTGGGATCTCATTACAAGGCGGCCGTGCCCCTGCCTGGAGCTGTTACAGGGCTGCGCTTTGAAGTCGCTCGTCCGGCGAAACGCAGAAGCCAGCTCCAGTTCTTGCCCCGACAGCTCGAGTGTCAGCCTGATCTGTGTGGAGGACGGTGCTTGTTTCAATGTTTGCTCGGCAGGCTGTCCAGAGACTGACAGAGTGCACAGGGCCCTCTGCGCAGGCAGAGCTGGGCTCTGGTGACCCCACAGAAAGGGCTGCTCTCATAAATAGAATGATCTTTTACAAGCGTCATTCTGCAGGACTAATAATCCTTCTCATTCCTCTGCAATCCACTAAGTGTTAAATGCTAATTATGGTAGTAACAACGGGGACAAAAAATGCCAAGAAATCAATCCAAATGTTTCTGCACTGCTATTGCTTTTTTAGACAGAGGGGTTGTCATTTGAAACCACTGACGGTATAAGAGTCTAAGCTTCTTCTCCCCGGCTGATAAAGGAATTACAGCACACAGTGAAGCTACTGTATGGTAAAGACAACGGCATGCAGCCCCAGAGCAAACGGGAGTGATAACGAGACACAGATTCATGACTGGCTGAGTGAGCACTGCCCAGGCCCCTCGGAACGTCTCCAAAGCCTTGTGTCCGAGTGTCAAAGTGTCAGAACGTGCCTGGCCTATAGAGAACAGAAAAGAATGGGAAAGCAAAAATAGGCCACTCAGCTTGACAGCTCTCAGCAGGAACTTCAAGCTGGTTTCTGCGAAAACTATTCAATGAAGATGACACAAAATGGATGATTTGCAGAAAGAAAGTTTATATATCACACACCGAACAGCACTGTGCTGAAAGGCAGTCTGAATAAATACTGTTGACCCATTACTTGACCCACTGGGTTCAGCAACTTTTGAGAGCATACACTCAGGAAAATCCATACTTGCAGTAATCCACAACGCTACAGGTTTTGCTATGCATGCAATTTAAACTGCAGCTGTCGCCTGTACAGCAGGTTTAGTTAGCTGATGCACAAAGTGTACCCTGTGGTTCACCACTCAGTCCCCAGACAGATGGCTGTTCTTGATCTGGAAACGATAAGAGCCAACAGCCCAGGAGTGAGGCAGCTGCCTGAAATTGCACAGAGAGCCAGTCAAAACACAAGCTGATTGCTAAGGTAGCTGTGAAAGGCAAGAGCCCCCTCCCTCCACCCAGAAATCTAAATTACCGCCAGGAATGTTAATAAGTGTGGTTTAAGCAGGAAGTAGATGTAGGAATGAATAATTTGCCAGTTGCACATCCCACTTCACCTTCAGAAACATCCTAACAACCCTTTGTGGCTTGTTCCCAGTGAGGTTCCCAGCTCCTTTTCCTGAATCCCTGAGACATCCACCGGCAGTTTCAAACAGGACTGAACAATACTCTCTAACTCTCCTTCCCTTATTTTAGCCTGTGCGTGTTAACAATGATTTAAAAAAAATAATGAAAGAGGAAGAATAGAGATCTAAAAGGGCTGTGTCTTTTAGTCTTTAGTATCAAGAAAGATGCATAACACCAGGACTTAGTTTACCTCCCAGTAAAACAGAGACACACGTTCATCGTAAATCATCAGAGAGTGGTGTGCAACAAAAAGCTTGATAGGGCACAATTACCTGAACAACTAAGTTTGTCTCTCTTATTTCTGATGCTGACACACTGCCATTTTTTAAGAGGTGAAGTGGTTTTGTGTCTGGCTATAACCAATCATTATTCCTAATAATATGCAAAATAGATTTTTTTTACAGAACCAATTTATATAATCTTGTTTTAAAATATGCTTCCCATTAATTCATACCATCAGTCGTGCATCTACAGCAGCTGGGGCTGTGCTGAAAATCCCATCCCAGGACCTGGTCTGTGCGCATACTGTTCCTTGTGTCCTGCCATGCACTGGTGTTGATTGCTGCATCAGCTGCTTATGCCGCACAACGTTTTAAAACACGTGCCAGTCTAACTGTATAACAAAGTTTGCTAATCTTGGAAACATGCATCTCCAGCAGACCAGCCTCCAGAAACAGAATGGAAGCTGGACAGTAAGAGAGAGGTCTTCCGAGAGGTCAAGTCTTCCTGTCTGAAGAAGATTTTCCCAGCCTGTCTCAGGTGGCTTGTATTGGAGGTGTTTCTTGAGGAATGTGGCGGAGCTCTGTAGCTAGTGTGACAGCTGTGGACAGCAGCTGAGAATGAGACACATTTCACACCAGAAATGAATGCTGAGAAACTCTTGGCAGGACTTAAAAAGTCTCTGGTTTCCAGTCAGAGAACTTCAGTTGTGCACAGGACTATATATAGCAAACCCAATGCGCTGAGTGCCACGTACTGTACTTCTCACAAAGACAAATACTTCACAATGGCTTCCGAAGACAACGTTGGGTGGAGGGGCTTGAAGGACAAGAAAAACAGACTATTTCAACCCGGAACAGATCCCACTAAGCAGCACCAGATGGAAAAACACAACAAAAAAATCATCTGCACTGAACGCTGAATCACTTTGTACCACTGTTGTGCTTTTTACCGAGGAGAGCCAACAAACACAATACATCACAGGATACCTACAGCACCTACACTCCCAGCAGCTCAACTTAATTACAGCCCTAGGGACAGCAATCTGTCTTTTTGGACTGTGCTGTATGAGAGCAAGGTGTAGCTATTTACTTCAAATTGATCTCTGTGCCACACCTCATGGCCCATCCCCACAGCACGCCTGCGTCTTCCAGGATCACAAGGCTTCAGCTCTCTCCGTTTCCAGTCACTGGCCTGTTTTTCACCTGGAATAACGCGCCTCTGAACAACGTAGCGAGATTTAAAGATGTATTAAGAAGCCGCCTGTCACAACTGGACTTACACTGAGACAGAATCTTTTTGCTGTGACACGTTAAAGAGCACACTTCAAAAAGTATCGTATCATAATTTTAAAATTAATTATTATTAAATTATTAATTATTATTACCACTCTACGTTCCTCCCTTTTATTCTTTAACTAAGTATGAGACATTTTCTTCCATTACCCATTGGATATCAAAATCACTGTACTCAAAATGATGCATCTTCATGCGGGCAGGGGGTGAAAGTGAGCTGTGTGAAAGAAAGATAGCCTTGTCTATTATGCTATTGCAGCAGACCCAATTTTTCCACTGCACTCTTATGACATCATGGGCACAGCCATCACAGTATAAATATAAATATAAAAGCCACTGCTAGTCTTTGGACTGGACACCATGATGAACGATCACACTTTCTGAGTTATGAAATCATTCACAGTGCAAACTGTATTGAACTTGCAAAAATTATTTGCACTGGTTGAATCACGTTTCCCTATGCGGCACTTGTCAGCTCTCTGCCCAGATGGTTTTAAAGCCAGTGAGCAATACTGTGTGTTACAGAGGGCAGACAGTTTCCCTCTGTCTACCCTCAGCCAAGAGCGGTTTACATTGATGCTCCTGTAATTACGTCTTTGTAGCTGAGGAAACCTGTTATTTTGGAAATGCCTTGCTTCAAATTGGTTTTGCATACAAACACCATTAAAAACAAAAGGAACGGCTCACATGTTGGGTAGCGTAATTTCCAGCAATTCAGTTCTGGTCATTTCTTTAAATGGGAGCTCTGCTCTCATGACACAAAACGTTTGGCCTGGGAAACTTGAAAACATTCAGCTTTTCTGCTCCTAAAGTGCTCTGGTTGGCCAGTGAAGATCTGGCACTGTTCTGTGACTACACACATGTACAAACCGAGTTCAGCAGTGCTCAGAACAGGAAACATCTCCACACAGAGCTGTAGAAGTCTGGAACAAACTTCCAAGTAATATAGTTGGGGGCTGGGACACTGGCTTGATGGACCTCTTGGACACTGAACTACTAGTGACCAAAAAAGTAAGATGCTTTCATTCACATCCTTCCTTAGTGTTTTTTGTGCCGCAGATAAGACACTAACCAAGTACAATGCCTTCTGATGTTTCTAAGGCAACGAGCCCTTTTTTATTAGTCAAACCAGTCTCATCTTACAAAAAGGGCAGAGGTTTAGAGCAAGCCATCAGTTCAGTCTTACTGGTTTGATGTGTATGCTAACCTGAAGAGAACTGCACAAGTGTGCAGTGAAATGTGTATTTCAGCCCTGGAATGGGTCTCACAAGCGACACACACACGCACGCACGCACGCACGCACGCACGCACGCACGCACGCACGCACGCACGCACGCACGCACGCACGCACAACTGGCAGCCCACTGAAGCTCAGCAGGTGTAAGCCTAGTCAGTACCTGGATGGGAGACTCCTGGGACAAACTAAGGTCCTGCTGGAAGATGTACTAAAGACCACTAACCCTGCGGTCTGTGTGGGTCCTAATGCCCCAGTAGAGTGACTGGGACACTATACAGTAAAAAAGCGCTGTCCTTTGGATGAGACGTAAAATTGAGGTCCAGACTCTCTGCGGTCATTAAAAATCCCAGGGTGTTTCTCGAAAAGAGTAGGGGTCTTACCCCGGCGTCCTGGCCAAATTTCCCCCTGGCCTTTACCTCCTAATAATCCCCCTCTACGAACTGGCTTCATCACTCTGCTCTCCTCCCCACTGAGAGTGGGTGTGTGGGGAGTGTACTGGCGCACTATGGCTGCTGTCACATCATCAAGCTGGGGCTAAACTGGTGGTGGTGGAGGGGATCCCCATTACCTGTAAAGCTCTTCGAGTGGAGTGTCCAGAAAAAGTAAAGAATTATCATTATTTGTCTCGAGGGTGGAGGCAACACTGAGGCCCTGGGTGCACCATTGTTCTCGCCTCTCCAGCTCAGATCAATGGCCAGGCAGCAGAGGGAGCAGGGATTATGGGAACGCTGTAGAAATGAAAGCCTGCCCTGTACTTGCCATGATGAGGATCAGTGGGCTTCAGTCACCAGTGCTGTCAGCCCATCACCTTTCACTCTCTGCAGCCATTCACTGCTGCTGCCTTTCTGCACACCGCCATCCAGAGCCACTTCCTGACAAACTACAGCTGCTTTTTCATCCCCTTCCCCAAAACAAAAACAAATAGCTGGACAAAAGAAGAACAAATGCTCTAAGCGTATTTTTAAATGCATGAAAATATTTTTGTATAGATGGCACTTCAAAAATGACCACAAATGTCCTACGTCTCCAGGCACCCCTGGGATCCTGACGGAGAATCGCGAACCCGGCTGTGCTCCGCGCACCCAGCGATCCGGCCAGGAGCAGGGCTCCTGAAGAAGCCGCAGTAAGAGGAAATCCAAGGATTTCGAACTCATGTGTAAATCAGCTCAACTAAACACACGGCAGCTGGCTTTTCCTTCTTTCTTTCTTTTTTAAAATGTTTACTTTCACAATCAACAAAGTGACGGAGCTAACTCTGTCACTACAAGAGCTCAGATGGAAACTGCCAAAGTCTGGACCATAAAGAGGCAGAAGGACAAGCTGCTCACCACATTACTGTGCTTTTCCAAAGGCTCGTCCAGATGAAACTGTATGGGTGTGTTTACCTAAAACTAGACACACTAGAAGATCACAGTGCTTGCACAATACTGCTTGTTGGAAACCACAGGGTGACAGGAAACGCGCCAGCCCTGCACATTGCTCAGCAGTTGTTTTCAGCTCAATGCGGGAGGGTTAAAAGGAATGTAAACATGGCCAGTGTCCTTGCAGTGTCCAGAGGCTTTCATTAGTGCACAAAAAACATATGATAAAATATATCCTGTGTGTTCCCTGAGGAAATCTCCATTTAAACTAATTTAAAAAAAGAGAAAAGGCAAAGAAAAAAGTCATACAGGAAACAGGATGAAAATGGTCTAACTTGTCTCACACTAATAAGGAGAGAGTTCATGAGCTCCGATTCTGATTGCCAAGATCGGTGCACCTCTGCAGGGTTAGAACACGAAGTAAGGAAGGCTGCAAGTGAGAGGAGACCATCAGCCCATCACAGAATCTCATCCAGGCCCTTCCAGAAGGAGGCCTGGGCACCAGCTTCAGCCCCACGCTGGTGGCCCGTTCAGGACTCCCACAGCCCTTTGGGCACAGAAGCGCCTCCTGCTCTCGGAGTTGAACGCACTTCCACGTAGCTTCCACTTGAGACTTCTAACAAGGGGTTGCAGATGCTTAACTATAAAATCTGGTGAGCTGAGAGATGGAATTTATGTGGCTAATTGCAGCCCGATGTGTTCTCTTTTTCCAGAGCGCAGAATTTGTTGGCACCATCTTGTGCAATTCCACCGCTGAGCTGCTGCCAGGGCAAAACCACTGCACTGAGCGCACACCGCTGCATGCAGTACGCAAACGAAGACGGCGACGAACACGCAGCTGTCGCCGTGCCAGGGTGCCATTACTAGTTTGATTCAAGATCAACTTCTCTGGAGGGCCTCACTCAGTTGGCAGAAACACTGGTTTTTCTGAGATATACAGTAAGTGAGAGAGGAGCTGTAATTCAGCGACCAGGCAAATGAATGTGAAATTTCCCATATTCTCAAAATTCCCATCTGGAAACAGTATTCCTGTAACGAGGGGCTTGTGGTAATGGAATAATGGGAAAATAATTTTAAGTGGCCTGATATTTTAGATAAAACTAAATATGATACTTTACCAATTATTTTCAAAGACGACAAAAGACGTGGACATGATTACAGGAGAAGCACCTCTAACAGACGTGAATGTCTTTCTCCTGTCCAGTTTTAAATCCAGCCAGCACGCACACGGCAGTCGAATCTGACCGTGCAGGCGGACTAGTGCCCGGGGGCCGCATGGCTTCACGGCTGCTGGACGAGGCGAGATCTGTTCCGAGCCAGGCCAGAGCACAGCTGCAGCAGCAGTCTCAGGTGTGTCCAGAGCCTCATGCCTTACCTTTCACCATGAGCATGGGCTCCTTTCCTCCTCCGTGCGCCAGCATCTCTCTGCGATAGCGCTCTCCCATTTCCCTGCGGAGAGGAGGACGAGACGCCCTGTCAGCCTTCGCCGCTTTGGCGTTTCACTAATGTCCGAGAGGGGATCTGACACCCAGTTCTACAACAGTAAGACCCATCCTCACAAGCTGGAGATCCTGTCACAATCCCCTCAGGGCAGACTATAGCACGCAGCAGACTGTACAACAGCACAGAATAATAAGTATCGCAGCTCTGAGTTTGTAAACATGCTGCTCTGGAGCTCTGAGGCCGTGTGCCCACTCTGTCTCGGAGGTGTGCAGCCTGTTCTGCATCGAGACGGGATGGAAGAACATCACTGGACACTTGAACATGTTCTGACAGCACTTTAGTCTCAGATAAAACACTTTTTTTTTTAAGCGAGAAATTCTCAACTACAACCCGAAAAGGTTTCCCCTGAATGTCTGTGTTATGACTTGGCAATACACGGAACGCCAGCCGAGTTCATTTTGTTGTTTATCCTTAACTTCTGCACTTTCTAATTGGAACTGTAATCAGAGCACAGCTGCTCTCTAAGCAATCCTTGCATAACTCACAGCCATTCACTACTATCAGAAACCAGCAGAAATGACACATCTTACAGGCATGCACATTTTGACTTCATTTTGTGTTGATGCTGAGCCGAGTGCCTGTGGAACAGTATTTCTAATCCAGCTCAATGCATTTGGGAAGAAACCTAATCCCTGCATTTTGTGGAAACAGAGTCAACCGTTGTCACCTGCTGCTGATCAAACACGCCCCTGGAATAAGCGATGAAGGCGTGTGCACCTTGAGCTCCTGCACAGCGCCTCCTGCGTTTGTTATGGGTTTTAAACTGCTCGAACTCGGGGCAGAAGTCCTAGGGCCCAGCACATCACATACAACGCTTCCTAGCCACCCACAAGCCATTCCGTCAGCACAAAAGGTCAAATAGTACTAACATGGGTCAGAGAAATCTGGGAAAGGAAAAAAAAGCTGCAGGAGGGAGCCGTTCTGCAGAGGGTCCGGCCTTGCCCCTGTGGGCGGGGCCCGGGGACTGGGGGCCGCTCACCTGTCGAAAGGGTTCTTCAGGAAGCACTGCCGCCACACCATGGAGGCCACGGCCCGGGACAGCAGGTAGGAGTAGTACTTGGCCCCGTAGCCGATCAGGTGGCTGAAGCGCAGCTGCCAGGCCTGGGGGACGAGAGACAAGGGGTTAAAACATCGCGCTCCTTCCTCCTTGCCTTCCCCGGATTCCCACCATCGCAGGCCGTGGGCAGCTGCGCTCGAGAGGGAGCAGGCAGCCGGACACGCAGAAGGGCTGGAGGGGAACTCCTACACGGGGAGGCCTGCCGGGGCTTGAGCTGCTGACATCTGGCCCCCGCCTCCTGACGGCTGCAGCCCCCCAGCAATCCGAACCCTGGTCTCCCCCAGCCCAGCTTCAAATATTTACTTTTCAAACTGGTTTTACTGCTGCATCCAGCAAGATGTCCTGCTTACTGCCCCCCCCATGCCTAGCATCTTCCTACCCCCAAAACCAGGGAATAAGCCCTGAACTGCTGCCTGGCAAAGCATCTCGAGGGCTGAACGATTCCCCTTCAAAGATATCGCTGAAGGACAGGCAAGCACAGACACCCTTCTGCCAGGAACTCGCAGAACAAAACTGTGCAACTCGGAATCAGCTCTGACGTTCATGTGCATCACATTCCTCCAAGCATTCCCCACCCAAAACACTCGACTTAAAAACACTTATTCTAAAACCTACACCTTGGGCAGCCTCAGATCACAACGTGCCCGCCTGCGTCAATAATAAGAGTGTGTGCAAATCAGCATCATTAGCAGCAGCAGGTAAAGAGCTCAATACGTCAAAGTGAAATTACTGCTTTTCTTAGTTAAGAAACTACATACATTCGGAATCTATTAAAACAAGGAAAAGGCACACTAAAAACTCTATAGGACATGACCCCCCCTGAGCTTCACTTCACAGCTGCCAATATTTGACAGGAGATCAGCAGGAATATAATGATCAGTAAGAGGACAGGATGTTCTCTTGGCCCGATGATCAAGTCTCCCCTCGGGAACGACCAGCTCCTCAAAGTTCAGGAATTAAGCCCACCCTTCCCATTCCATCCCGAGATGGATTACACAAATCCACTGAGGCATGAAATAGTTGTGTGAGACTGTCCATTACAAAAATGCAAATAAGTACAGTAAACCTTGTCTAAAACACAAAAAAACGCTTTCTGTGTTTCAGTCACCTGCTCGGCCTGCTGTGTATATTTACACCCTGCTTGTGGTGGTCCAGCTACAGAAACCCCCCAGTGAGTCCGGAGCCGTGTCCCAGCAAGCCCACAGCCCCCTGGTATGTCCCGCGGACAGCCTGGGCACCTCCTGGGAGCGCACCATTCCAACGGGATGGGAAGACAGCGGTCATGGGAGGGATACAGGTGCGTGGTGGCTCAGGGAACTCTCCTGCTTTTCCAAAACCTGTTACAGCAGAGAAAGACGAGGCCCGGCCATTCTGGCTGCTCAGTCCTGAATCCATCACACTTGCACAAGGCTCACAGCCAATCATCAAGCACAGACTTCGACTAAAAAAAATAAGATGACCGTCACCACCATCACGGCGCTTCTCGGTGCCCAGCAGTTCTATAGGAAACGCACAACAATAGCCCTCTGTATCCTCCCCTGCTCTCAGCAAGGACCCTCCCCTGAAGATCACAGCTGATAAGAGCGTCTCATAGCTGGGAAGTTCAATGGGATCCTTTTGAACTCTCACTGCATGGCCTTCTTGTGGAGTTCAAGAATTTCATACATCTGGAAGCCTTTAATCTCTGGTCTGATATTAGAAAGAGATTAAAGAGGGTTTGTTTATTTGCAACAATGAGTGAAACAGCACGTGCGGAACAGCTTGGAGGAACCAGAACTGGAGTTACAGTGCTCGCACACGGTCTGATTGAGGCCGCATGGAGGCATCCGCTTCCTGAGAGAGCCTCAATGAGATTCATTAGAAAATAAATTGAAAGAGCTTTCAGTAACAAAATTAGAAACATTAAATTAAAAACAAAATAATCACAAAAACGTTAAATGGTTGCTGTCTCAAAAACGACAGTTTAAGATGAAGTCAGACTTTTCTTTGCACACATCATACCATATAATTCCTTTAAAAATAAAAAATGATGTTAATACAGGGCCTCTGGTACGTACCACTCCCTAATTGGTGGTGGTGGAGGGGATCCTCATTACCTGTAAAGGCCTTTGAGCAGATTGTCCAGAAAAAGCGCTATATTAAGCTTACATAAAAAGGAGTGTAAAAGCTCGTACAGAAGGCTTATACACCCCTTCACTGGGATAACAACGCGATGCTCCTGAAGCTCTGCTGTGCTCCAGTTTCGAGACAGCAAAAAAATAAATTAAGGAAAGTGAAAAAATTAAAAGAAATTGTCCACAGATGGAGAACACTGACGGGAGTCCACATATTTGTTACAAACTAATTTCTTTCAGATCGGAAAGCCCGAAGTTCTGGAGAGTTGCCAAGGCTTCGTTCTGCAGAACCGAGTGAATCGGAACAAAATCATGGTCATTCCAGCTGACAGAGCTGCCATGCAAAGTGCTCTTTGTGTGCGGGGCTTATAAATCTCTCTCCACAAACACAGCGCAGGAGATGGGGCTCTGGAGGACCGGCTTGTAAACCCCAGTGCCTGCAAGGTCTTAGGTGTTAGCATGACAAGTTACATCTGGCCTTTAATGAGTTTAATGAAAGTAAACAGCTCTTCTCGCTGAAAGAAAGTTTAACTTGTGAAACCTAAACTATGCTAAACAGTGCAGGATGAATTAAATATTTACAAACACACCTACACTAAGCAGTGTGAGAGCTTGATTTTTAATGTCCTTAAGACAAAGACAAGCTACTCAAGAGAGCTGCAGTTTATTCTTCAGCATCTCCTTAATCACTTCTAGACACCTCGTGCAAAACCCAGACGGCTCTTGGCCAGCTGCTGCAGAGCGGAATGTGTGAGGGCGCGTGTTTATGAGAGGAGGTCAAAGGTCAAAGGAGCATGAAGGGAATGTTTGAAATGAAAAACTAATACCACTCAGAAAACGCAGGGGAGAAGGGATCCAATGTCTAGGTCTCAGCCCCCCATCAGTAAAAGTGAAACGGTTCAGTAAATATCAAAGAGATGATGTAAACAGTTGAAAAAAAGACAAAAAGATTTTTAAACAGTCTATGTAATCAAAACTCCAAGTTGTTCCTGAGTATCCAAAACGTGGATTTCAATGGCATATAATCCAGTACGCCATCAATTATCACAAAATGTCATCAGCAACATTTGTGCTGCAAGCATAAGGACACTATGAGGTAGCAGAGCAAAAAAAACAAACAAACATCAGACGAGTTGTTTGTTTTCAAAAGAGTTGGATTCTTGTTTTTCTTGAAATGAAGGATTCTAGAAATACAATCAGGGTTAAAGTGTGAATATAGAAGTGTTACCTCAGTACGCAATAGGTTTGTAGAACATAATCACAGCTTTGTTCACAATGTCAAAATATTTAATTGCAAAAATAAAAATTAAGTTTTATTTTTTTTCAGCTATGAAAACATCCAGGTATTTCTTCTCTTTCAGATACAAATGATAAGTGATATCTGTCTGCAGGTCACAGGAAGAGGAAGGTTATTTCCCGTCTGTGTCGTCAATATTTCCCAGTCTGGAGCCTCCAAAACACTGCACTCCTGAACCTCCTGTAATTCCCTTGGAAAATCTCCTCACAGAGAATCACAAAAAAGTTGGGACAATTTCCAAGCAAACATGACTCCCAAGTTTAAGTTTCTGAACTAATTCAAGGTATACAACTTGCTAAAACAGTTTACAACTTCATCTAACACAACAGATTTAAAGAAATCTCTTCAGTCTTGAGTCACTTGAGTCTTTTTAACTAAAACTTTGCTGTCAAGAAAGACATTTTAGAAGCCTTAAGTATTTAACGGCATTTGATTTGATCTATTAAAATCTGTGGAAAGGGCATGGACACACAGGATGTTTCACGTGAAGCTGAAAAGGCTGGTCTTTTGCTTTTCAGAGAAAGTTCTGCGGATAAGGGAACATCAACAAAGCCTGTGGAATTTCATGTTTTGAGATATTTTCCTTAAGATATCAAGCAAACATGGATTACCATTTGGGATGTGTAACCTGTGATTGTTCTTTTACTCCTAACACATTATTACTGCTGACACTCCTTATCTGTGTGCAACCACAACACTTATCTCAAGCTCCCAGAAAGCACACCCAACCCAGCGGATGTATATCATCTCGGTAAGAGAGAGAAACAGAGAGGGAAAGAGGAGAAAGGACAAACAATACCTTGGATTATAGGAGTTTACGGATGTGTAAGGTTAGAAATGTTAGGATTAAACTCCTCACTTTCAGTAACATGTCTTTTCACTGTCAGTCACTGTAATCTCCTTTCACATCCATCCATTTTCTAACTGCTTTATCCAGTACATTTTAATTTTTGTTTACTAATACTTTCTTATTGTTTCCAAAAATGAAGTTGCTCACGTACCATCTGTCCAAACCAGGAACAGATCACGGACAAGTAGTCCATCTCTGTAGAAGCCATCGTGGGCAGATCAGGCCCTGACTAAAGTCTGGACAGACTCTCTCAGGCTTCGCTTGCCCAGTTGGTACTCCCTTCCCAGTAAACGTTACAGTTAGAATGTTCTGTTTGCCAACCCAGCAAAGGCTTTTTAAAGACAGTTACACCTAGACAGGTCAGCAAACCGACCGACCAAACCGACTGGCTGATGCATTTCTTGAGTGACCCTTGAAAGACCCTCTTCCGAGCCTCGCCCGTGTCTCCATCAATTCTCCCTGCAGAACGTGGCAGACACAGCTGTGAGCTTCCCGAGAGCAGATCCAGAGCGGGGCTGCAGATTCTGCAGAGTCCCTGACGTCCGGCCTGATACCGAGTGCAAGGGTGGAAGTGGACCACGACGATCCTCCGGGCCTGTGGCACACCCGCTTGGGAAGACCCACTGCCGCCATCACATCCTTTAGACCTCCGACAGGTCTCCCGCGCAAAACCCTCCCATTTCGGACAACGAAACCAGAATGAAATTGCCAAAACGCATGCTTTCACATGTAATTAATATTAATACGAAGTTTGGTCTATGATGTGAAAAATCAGTGTGCACATCCAAACTACCTGGACTCCTCAGGATATTTTAAATACTATATGAATAGATTTAAATCATTTTACCAAGAATCCACGAAGGCAAAATACTACAGATTTTGCAAGCTGACATTTTGGCCACGTCCGTTGGCGCAAATCTATTTACCTGCTTGATTTCTCAGTCTCCTCAGCCCAAAGTATAGAAGCTACTATAGAAGAAATGGTCCTATAGAGCCTGAGAACAAAACCTGACTTGAGGAGACCACAAACAGGATCTGACCCAGGCTAGAGCAGCTTTTCTCCATGAAAACATGAACTGTAAAGTAGACACTATGTCCACGTCATATTAAATTCCAACTAACAGCCATCAAAGGGGAAGGGAAAAGCAGTTTTGTTCATTCCGACTCCCAAAGATGGAAAAAGAAAATAAAAGGGACACATTGGGATTGTGGGGAGAGAAAGGGGCTTGTGGTGGAAACCAGGTTCAGGAAGGGGAAAAAAAGGCCGAATGATCTCAACATGTTTGATGGGCCACATAATTACAGCTTGAAATAAATGGCGTACAAAGGCTGTTCCCAGAAAATGTGCCACATTTGAATATATTCCCTCCTGGCAATGTGCTCGCTCACAGCTGCTCAAGTGTGGGGAACCGTTCTCATTATACAACTACAGAGAAAACTACAGTTTCAGAAATTTCCCTCAGGGTGTAGTCTTTCAAAGTATCCCTTTGCTTTGTTATTTTAGCAGGTCAAAAAAAAAAAGGTTTTAATCCCTTAAATGCAGTGCTGGCTGGGTAAGAGGTACAAAACCACAGAGAGGGGAGACAAGAAAGCGCGAGACTGGCCTGAGGATTTCTGTCTCCGAGCACTGCACAGTGAGGCAGCAGACACACTCTTTTCTAATGGAAGGATTAGGCAAGAATGTTTTGTAAACATTCATTAACCTTGAAAGCTGTTATGTGCATTACTGTTCAGTAGACCACCAACCCGCAGTTATGAAAAAAGATTTAAACCAGGAAGTTTTGTTTGGATGCATCTTCTATAGTATGTTGAACACTTTACAAAGACTTTGATGTTAACAGGTGACTCTGAAACTTTAATTTTATTTACTAAGAGAAATATTTTGTAATGTATCACACCAGCAGAATTCACTGCAGTCTCACTACCTTTAAGGTTCTTCGTGGAAAGACAGAACCAGACATTTCATCACAACCTTAAAGCCAAACAAATTCCTCTCGCAAGAATCGGACGAATTCAGCTTCAGGCTTCTAGAAAAACATTCACAAATCTGCAGCTGCAACTGCGACTTGCTCTTTAAAGTCTTCATTTAAATGATTATCGAATGGTTTAACAAAACATAAATTAAAAGGCATTTCTGCCATATCCGACTGGTGGCCACTGCAACACCCCTAAGGATCAACAGTTAATGAGAGGCTCTCCATTCATCAGAGTAAAGCCAGTCTTTCATTCACTGGAGGAACTAAGATTACTGCAAAGTCTTTCACCCTGCCAGGAATGTCATTGTCTTTTGAAGAACAATGGGAGGGCGAAAAAGACAAAGAGAGAAAAGGAATCTTGGAATAATGTTCTATTGTCTTCTTTCTGTGTTCCTCCAAACATTTGGAATGTGTGCTTGATGTTTCCGAGACTTCCTCAGGAAAAAACTCTCTGAGCCAAACTTCCATCACCCGTCAACGTGACTGATACACTTAACACTACGATGTAACACAATATTCTTTTGGACAACAAATGCGCCAGTAGCAGAATTAAGACACCTGTCAGACTTATATTTCAGCGGGGATTTTGTAAGTAACACATCTGCAAGGCAAAAACTGTATGTTCTGTTTACTGCTCGTACTTAATTGTTTTGTACAGTGCCACGATGTTTTAATGAAATACTTCTGTGGTTCACTGATTCTGAGGTTTCTTTCTCTTTCTATAGCAATGATGTATTTTTATTGAGAGAACTCCACTGGCTGGAAGGGACCACATCACAAGGCCTTCCACAGAGAGCAGGACTCACAGCAGTAAAGGACAACACACGAGCACCTACCGTATTGGGAACGTATGGCAGTCCATAGAACTTCTCCTGCGTCTCTTTCAGAATTTCAGTCGTTGACCGATTTTGGGGCTTTCCGTGATAGATCTGATCCAAGGCCGCATAGAAAACCTAAAACCGTCAAAAGATGTTAGAGTCTGGATAGTAGCCTCAAAGCAGGACAGGCCTCGGTGGTGATCTCTCCTGGCCCAGAGTGAAGCTACATCTGCTCATCTTTAGTCCTCCAGAGATCTAACCTTACTACCTTAACTGGTCTAAAGCAGGAGTTCTCAATCAGTGGTTGAACTACCTCCCTGTCTCCCCAGAAAAAGGGGAGAGAGAGCGAGAGCCCTGCATGTCTTCAGCCCATTTTCATCCTCCTATCTGTGCAAATCTGAATTGTCTACACTTTCAATGATCAGAAATAACCACTGAGGATTTAATGTGGACTTGTATTGTGGTCTTTCTTCCACGGAGCCCAGAGTTTCAAAACTTGTGCCAGCTGTGCAGCCTCACAGCTCCCACCGATAATGTCTGGGCCAAACTCTTAAATTAAATAAACGGAGGTTCACATGTGAGCTTGTATCATAGTACTTTTAATCTGTTTCACTACTTCTTAAAGTAAAAATAATGTTTCGTGGATGCAAGATTAAGTTCAACTGAACATAGCAACTGAAATTAAATAGTTTTTTGAAAAAATGTTCCAATAAAGTTATTAGGGAGTACAAACTGTTGGCGGCTGTAGGTCTGGAGGACCCGTGGTTTGGTGTCATTAATGAAAGCAGGGTGTTGTATCTGTAAGGTCGAGAACAGCTTGTTTAACCACACCGCGTGTCCAGTTTCTATCCACTGTAGAGCTGCAGTCTGCTACAGCCCTGCAGCTCCAGCCAGTGGTCCTTGAAGTCCTACAAATAATACTGACTTCTGTGCTTCTACAGAGAGGGTCTGGGTCTTGAATTTTAGCTAGAGCCCAACAACAATCTGAACATAAAAGATAAAAGTAGAAAATAATCAAAGTGCTCCTGTGAGCACTGGGGTGCGCCTCTCTCTCAGTCCACACGCTGCATCTCTCACATAGGAAGCAACAGCACACTGCTCACTTCTCACTTCACCCAGATGACATTCAGAGCTAACATGCCTTCCAGAGAGGATTAAGCTGATTCTTAAGTGCAAAGGGGTGACTCGACAGAGAATTTAAAACAAATAATAAAAATAACAAAAATCGAGCAAAGATTAGTCATTCACTTTCGGAACACCCAAACTCACAATAAACTGATAGACAAGATGAAGCTCATAAAAAGTGATGTGAGACAGCGATAGTGATGGGTCCTTGGCTCACAAGAAAGCCCCTGGGGTTGGAACTGCTGAGCTCTCAACTTGGAAGGTTGTGCAGATCCTCTGGCTAGAATGGCACTAGTCTCTCCCTTAGACCCCCACTACTTGCCAGACCCCAAATCCCTCGTCTTTCAAGAGGAAAGACCACCACTGAGCACCGCTGAATACATTAAACAACAGATGAATGCTCTACGCACTCTTTCTTCATAGAAGACCTAAACTGAAGAAAGATCTGACGTGACACTGATGGTTTACTGCACGAAAGAGAACTGCAGCCTTTCCCCCCAGAACCTTCCCTCCCAGCCTTGTGAAGAAAAGGAGCAGGCGAAGGTTTATTCCCTGCTGAAAGGAAAAGAAAAGAGACACAGCATGGCTATGTAGGGTTCAGTAATATATGTCTGTAGATGTAAATGAGCTGTGATTTGGGGCAAGTTAAGTGAAGTTCTGTGGTTTGTATTCACAAATCTGTGCAACTATTCCAAAACGTTATTTCTGTTGGAAATTACAATCTACACCAGCGCTTTCCTGCAGGCCGAGATGTTCCCTGCTCCGAGCAGCTCAGCCGCAGTGATTTGGAGGCTCAATCTGGGAGGCAGAGGAACAGGAAAGACCTGTCATCAAAAGATGGCGACTCTCACCTGGAGCTGTGTGTCTGCTGCACCACACACCTTCTTGGATTCACACAGGCGGGAGACCATGCTTTTAGGCAGAGGCTGGAACACAAACAGCAGCACCAGATTCTCAGTACAATTTACAAACCAGAGGTCTGCGTTTCCACATCTAATACAGCCACAGAAAACTGCCACCACACATTGACAATTAAACAATTAGTTACCAATTATACTTGTGATAATTTGTAGAAGCCAATTTTTAAAAACTGCTAATCAGCAAATTTTTCAAGCACCTTGTTTTAAGAAGAAGAAAAGAAACACAATGTTTAGGCTGTGGAGCCTTCTTTGGGTGTTTTAAATGAAGCTGATACTTTGACAACCAGTCTTCCCTTTCATCAGTACACTGATGGAAACAGGACTAAACCAAAACACCTGCCAGCTGTTTCAGGTTCCACTGATTCTTTTATGGAAGAAAACTACAGCCTTATTTCAGCCATTCTTATCAGTCTTATCATGGATGGAAAACAAAAACACGCTTCCCTTTAGCCTTGCAAATCCGTGTTTAATAATTTGTATACGGATTTGGTGACCGGAAACACATCTGTGTTAGCATCATAGTGAAACTGGAGACCATGAAAGCACAAACATTCCTGACTTCTCCTTCTGTTTAACTCCCTGTCGAGACTTGTTTATATCAAGATACTGTACTAATGCGATAGACTGGACAAAGCACCTGGATCAAGGGGTTACCTTCCCTCTGTTCTAAGATAATTAGTAAAAACGAGGGCACATTCTCTTAAAGAGAAACAAAATGGATCCCATATGAAACCAGCTGAAAAAACATGATGTCTTTTTTTAATTTTCTTAGGTAGTATTTAATAAAGCACCTTAAACTCTCAGGTTTTGCTTTTTGTCATTTACATCTCTCAAACACAATTAAATTCTTCACCCGGGTGAAATGGCAACACTCATAGAAAGACCATAAATGTTAAACTAATAGTCATTTCATCCTTTATTTCAGACTTCTTTCACTCAGAAGCAATATCTAGGCCAGCAGCACTCTCATCCCACACAAATGAAGGCTCCTAAAGTGTTTGTACATGTCAGGTCATGTGTCTTAAAGAACCTGGGTAATTTTTCACTGGATTTGATCTTTTAGACAAATCCAGGAAGTAATGGATAAGCACAAGCACAGAGCATGTAACCAAATGTTTTCACCAGGCTGAAAGGATGTAGCTTTGAGGACAAAGACAACTGTAACTTTAATCAACCACACCTTAATATAGCCTGTAGATGTTGTTTGCATTTCATTAATTTGCCTGTCACGGCAGTGAGTACCTGAATTCAACTGTTTCCTTAATTCATGAAGCTAAGGTCAAACTGTTTTTATTGTAATGCAAACTCTGTCGGTTTCACTCAAGGATCTTCGAGGCACATTTACTGCAAGAATATATTTGAAAGTTCACTAAGAAAGAAAATACATGGCATTTTTCCTTAACTTAAAGGGAGAGCTAAGTACTATTTATTGCAAAATAAAACAAGAGAATCAGATTCCGCCACTGAAAGCCGAAGAGTGCACACCACACTATTCTGGACCGACCTGGAGGAGACCTGGATCAAACTGAAATCTGGAGGGAAAGGTGCCGATACCTGTCCTGTCTGGTAATGTCGTGCAAACTGATTCACCACGCGGTAGTCACTCGCAAAATACTCCATCAAAATGGAAGGAACTTCAGCGAAATCTGTTGAACAGCGGGTTCCTTCAAGAGAAGAAAAAGCAAAGAATTTTTACTGTCAGTCTGAAAATAAAAGAACCAGCTACAAACAAGAGCAGGCCACCTGGTCCATCTATAGGATACTGGTAAATGTGCATTTCCTGTCATGGCTACACTCTGAAAACCCAAACTAAAAATCTGAAATGATTTAGGACTGAAAAATTCAAACTCTCACAATTTCAAAAGCCAAAAATGCAGTACACAAATGTAAATGCTCTTCAGCTCAGCAGGACACTTCCAAGTCAAAATATTCACTGCACATACTGATGTCATCTGCATCTATCTCACGCCACTAAGTACTATGCTGCAGCTCGTATGAAAGGAGTAGATATCAAAACAACATATGGATGCCGTTTATATCTGAAAGGAAAGAGGAAAGAAAACTTGGAAAGAACAGGTCCTTGGGGATATAGCTACAGACAGCAAACGGTGTTGACAGGAACTCTATGATTCTTGAAGCCACTGAAAACAGACAACACTAATGCTGACTCTTAGCCAGTGGGGGTACATTTTAGTAGCCTAACAGGGTTGGAAAGGGGTCATTTTCTTAATGCACCATAGCAGACATGTGGAAGATGCTCGTGCCCTTTCAGCTGCCCCAGACCTGTGACGTGCTGGTAGCGGGTCCTGCCCAGCATGGAGTGCATGGCGTGGCCCATCTCGTGGAAGAGGTTCTCCATCATGCCCGGCGTGAGCAGGGCGGGGGCGCTGCTGGAGGGCGGGGGCAGGCTGAGCATCAGGACCACCACTGGCAGCTGGTACTGGCCGTTCTGCAGCCGGCGCCCCCCGCGGATCGTGAAGTGGCAGTCCTGCACACGCATGCAAGCACAGCCAGGGCTCAGACTCAGAAACTCTCATTCCTGCTGCTACATAAAACGTGAGCCAGCTGGCTTCTGCTGTCCTTTCATACTTCCCCTCCAGATAAACTGGTGTATGCGATGTTCTCAACATCTGCCTCAAGCAAATGGGAATGCAATGGCATTTTAGCAACACAATTAAACAACATCTTAAGATAGGAGACAAATTGTGCCCATTACTGAGAGTCAGAGCCCTAACAGTGTCTTGTGAGCTCTTGTAACAAAGGCTGATTGTTTCCACTGCCTTGCTTCACAAACTCTAGAAAATAATTTGCATATCTCCCACTGCTTTTGAGAAGGTTATGTGTTGTAACTTGAACAGAAACATCATAACTTCTCAGACAAAACTGAAGCTTACAAAGGAAAACATTTATAATTGCAGGCTGCAATCATGTGCCCTTTTTTAACTGCAACTCTGCCACTGATAAGCGCTGGGTAAGTCCACAGGAAACTGCTGTGTTACCTGGTTGGGTTTGTCAGGCCTGTGGAAGAAGTCACAGTAGATGTAACCCAGCAGCCCCTCAGTCTCATGAACCACAGCCTGTCAAGACAATCAGGTCTCTTAGTAAGAACTACTCAACTGCTCAAACCATCTGCTCAGCAGCTGTCTGGACCTTCAGATTTTCATTAAAACATAACAACCCCGAACTCACAAACATTTGGAAAGTTTAAATAGATCAGATATCCTTCTTTTTAAATATTTAAGGAAACCTAAATGGTTGTGACTAATTTTAAAATAATTTCAAACAGCTGTAACAGACTTTATTTTTTCCAATTGGAAAATAAAAACACTTAAAAAACTATACACAGCCCTTCTGCAGCTCCCTGGTGCTTATGTGCTGCTCAGAGCCCAACACTGTCTTGAACTAAGAAGCCGTATCTCTGTCTATAAGACTATCTTTGTACTTACGCCCTGATGGAAACTGTGGTTTGCTTCACAGGCGCCTGCGAACTGAACTGATTTCACAGAGTGCTTTTTGACTACGCGGCCCGCAGTGCCCGCTCACCAGCTTGCGGACGTCTTCGCACCAGACCTCTCCTTTCTCGGGCTGCTCTGTCTGAAAGCTGACGCCCAGGAGCTGGCTGAACAGGGAGTTTAAGCCCTCCATGCACGCCCCCAGGGAGAAGAACGGGCTGTACAGGCCGGGCTCAATATTGTACCTGAAAGAGGAAGAAAGTGTTTCATTTGTGGGTCCCAAAACAGAGAACAGTTGAACCTATAACTGCTGATGTTTTGATTCCAAGTTCCTCTTCAATACAAAAGTCTGTGTAACTATAGGGTTACCCGGTAGAGGGATCCCGCACTGCCTGCAGTGTCTGTATTGCACTTGGCACAAGCTGAACCATTAATGCAGGCTTGCTTTTCTTCTTTAGGGAGTACAGCCTCTCAGGATTTATACCTGGGAAGAGGCAGAGATTCTGGATCCTAGCTGACAACAGGTGAAAGACAAAGTAACTGAGTTATCATTAAATGTAGAAGCATAAACTGTAACGCCTGCGTAACAGCAGGTTAAGGAGTCTGTGAAAGACCAATGGAAGACACTGTTTGCCGAACACAAAAAATGAAAACAGTAATTTATTTTTAATGATCAAAATAGCTACAGAGGTGAATGAAAATGCCTATCTTAGAATATAAAAGATGTTACGTAGCCAAGGGTATGAGTCCTTACTTTTAAGAGAAATTAAGATAATATTCCCCTAAAATTATTCTGTCTTTACTGTCTTTATACTCATGGAAGATAAAAACAGTGAAAGAAGCTGTTCTTCCACTGTGACCTAGAAGGTCTTAAACAAGTACTGCTCAAGATAGCACATGCAGAGTAAGACACTTCACACAACAGCCCCTGTGTCATTAGGCTGCACCAGGACACGCAACACACTAAGTTGCTCTGAACATGAATCCTGCAATCTCCTGTACAAATATGCATCAGGAGAATTACAGATTGTGAAATTCCAAAGCTTGACTTCTCCGCTTCAAGCATTTATTTTGTCTTTTAAGGAGACTGACAGCTGCTGCTGACAGAAGGATCGTTTGTCTTGCCTGTCACACCAACACTGAAATATTTGGTGACTTTAGTAAGCGACCAGCACCCATCAAAAAGAGCTTATCAATTTAACCAGAAGGGTCCTGCCAATCTTGCGAAGTTGTGCAATTACCTAAATCGTGTGGACAAACTGTGCAGTTTAATACACCGCCCCTGGGCAAAGGGAGGCGTTCAGCACTCCATTTTTAATGAAAGCCTTTTCTAAAATCTCAGACAACTGCCTTCAGAGAAAGCCACAATATGAGATTTATTGCCTCTTTCATTTTAAGTTCAAAAATTAAAGTTTAAGAAAACAAAAAATGTAGACTATGCAAGTGCAGAAAATAACTGCACTGTCGTACATTTCCAGATCACTTCGATGCTGCAGAGCGAGCTGGGATTTTCAGCCTCTGTGTCTGCGGGCGTTTTCTGTTGTGTGATTAAATCTTTTCTGTCTTAAACCTGCGCTCATTAACACAGCACCATTCTGTTACAAAAAAATATTTTTTTACATATCAGAGCACACATGACTACAGAAAATCACATCAGGGTTTAGGTTTCGGATTTATTCCTGTGTTGCTGGCAAATTTCTTTATCAGAAATCTGCCACACAAAGTCTTAATAGGTTTATTTTTCATAAATTTAAAGCATTCTTTTATTCTGATTTCAGTAAGCATGCCAAGACCGTGCAGGCTCTGTAGACAGACAAAATCAGGTCTGCACACTGGAAAAAGAATCGCTCTGTTTGGAATCAGGAAAACTGTGAATTTTGAGATGTGGTTATCAGGCTGGCTCTGCAGAAGAAGACTTTAGAGTCTATGGACAGGAGAAACTAAGCAGTATGGTTCTGCCAGTAAGAGTTGTTAGCCCTCCCCCGAACCCTTCAGCTCTTCACAAGCCATACCCAACATTGCAAAACTTTAAATTAAAGTTTATTTAAAAATAAAGGACAAAACTTAAGCGGAAGACGTCCTGTGAGCACTTCCAGTGTGCCCCCAATAATGAGTCAACCCTGCACGCCAGGATCTCAGTTTGAAACAGCACTCACGTCCGGCAGGACCCTGCAGGTCTCCAATAAAGATTTTAAATACAATATTTACTACACTTGGCACTTTGGTTTACTGGCCCCAGGTGAGAGACTGGGAGGAAAAGCACCTCATTAACAAGGTCTCTGAGTGAATGAACACAACACTGAACCTTCATCACAACAGTAACAACTGCAGCAGTCTTCATTCAGCCCTGCTCGCCCCCACAAGAACCCACAAGACCTGTTGCTTCTCATCTTCATGAAGACAACTTGCACGACTACAGTGAAAACAGACCCAGACATCACGAGGCAGCGGAGGGGTCACGAAAGCCTGGACAAGCAAACGACTGTGCAAAGGCCCTCACATCTACACTACAGCCAGTGTGAATTTCACCATAATGTACAGTAACAGAAAAGTAACGACTGTTGCACTGGCTAAACCACAGCAGCTAACTTCCAGTTTCCATTCCTGAAGGAAAAACAGGCGTTAAAATAAAGAGAAATCAGCTCATATCGTGTCCCCAGAAGGTCCTGTCATTTCTTCATCAGCAGACTGGGTTCCCAGCACTGCTAACAGAAGCCATTGTGTTTAAATAACACCCAGATATAAATAACCTTCTGGTCCAAACTAGAGTGCTACCAAATTTCAACGGCATCGATTTTTTAATTTTTCAGAGATTACTTATTTTAACAATAGATATTCTCCCTCACAGGTAGATGATAATCTTAGAGTATTCTAGGGAAGAATCCGTTTCCTTGATGCAAGCAGTGAGCCTGTTCTCTACTCATGTTCAGACAGGGGTATTACAGAACATCACAAAGTCAGAATTTCCTTATGCATCAGCTGCTGTGAATTTGGAAAGCGATTCAGTGTGGATATAATGAACTCCACCACATTCGCATTTCTGAGCATCTGCATGGCAACAAAAAGCCTGTTGACTAAATCCCACATCCTTTCAGTGGGTAATATCACGGCTTCGAGCCGAGGGGAATGTGATATTGTTTCCTGGACTGTCAATCAGTAGCTGGAAGAACCAGCTAGACAGAGTAAACAAATTAATATAAAACATAAAAAATCAGCCCTTCTGACTGTTCTGAAAACTTTCACTTAAATCTAATTCATATTCTGAGGCATCACACGTTACATGGTAGTATTATTCCATCTTGCACTGACCACTTATTAACTAATGGTGAAAAGTAGGCAATGTTCCATAAAACCTGTGGAATTCTATTGACAATACTTTTGCAGTTACAGCTGTGTGACAGTTGAATGCTGCAGTTTAATCTTCAAATACACATGGACTGCCCCCTTTGTATAAGACACCGGTGGTGCATTAAAACTGACTAGACCTACAAACAAAATCCTACCCGACCTTTCAGCACGCAGGACACCGCTGTAGTAGGGATGGTCCCAGGGCATGAGGTCCTAAAAGAAAAAAAGTGATTTTCAGTTATCATTTACAATCTTATTTATCATTTCAGATCACAAATGTGATCACTCATTAATATCTGTATTCTCCCAGATAAAGTGGGATCTCTAATAGCTAAAAGTTAATAGGCTGTCTAGGTTTCTGACATACACAGTTAAAAGTGACTTTTTTCATAACTAAAAAGACAATAACATGTTAATTGCTAATTTGCTGCACATGGCGATACAGAATGTGACTTTAGAAGGCTCTGCACACAAACACACACACGGGACCCATCCTGCACACCAGCAGCTCTCTGGCCTGGAGCAGGGGGTCACACGCCTGCTGGGTCTGGTTCCATCGGAGCTCTCCTCCACAACTCAGCCCAGAACAGGTCTAATAACAGCATGAGCTTGAAACCTCTCACTTCTGACACCTCTCATACTGGGAGATTTTGCCTTTTTAACTGATGCCCCTCAAGCAACTTCAGATGGCCATCACCCAAGCAGGAACTTGCAAGGGTTCCAAACGAGCAACTGTTTTCAGTTTCACTGAAGGAGCCAGATAAGTAACAGGTTTGCCTTAACAAACCCAGCAGATAGTATGCTGTATGTGGGGATCCAGGACTGGGATTAGGAAGCACTGCTGTATAGGACTCTCTGTGACAGTACTCACTGCGTTTCTTGGGTTCAGCTTTGTTTTCATATCTTTCATCATTTCAAAATCTTTTGCCGCTCTGCAAAAAGTAGAGTGAGATCAATGCAATGCCTGCTTTTGTGCACTTTTACAGAGGTGCTGAATCTCATGTACGTGTTCTCAGCATTGGCAAGCCTTCCAATTCCAAGTTGAAAGTGAGATGAAGACACGTATGTGTTCAAGCCTTTGAATGTAAAGAGTTTTGTTGTAAATGAAAAGCCCAAATGAAAAATAACCAGTATCAGAGTTCACTGGCAGGTGCTCCTTTTTCATAAGAAGGAAAATCCAGCTTTGATTTTAGAATTTATAACAGAAGAGTGCCTAGTTATATATCTATTTCTATAATTATAAGAAGTAAAACAGAAATGGTCATGGAGTCCCATCTATTTTTGTCGAAGCTTTGACTTTCCTTTGAGTAATAAAAAGTAAGGCTGTTTCTGGAGAGTCCACATAGAGCAGGATTGCAGGGCCAAGCTGGATTTCAGTACTGAGACAGAGCAGGTCTCTCTGCAGCACGATACCTATCAGAGCCTGAAACCCACAGCATCCTCAGCAATGTGCAGAGCTGAGGCACTGCTGAGCAGAGTCTAACAGCTTTCTTCTTCACTTCTGTTAATATGAAAGTTCCTTGTGGGAGGAACACAGCAGGAAATAACATACCTGTCAGAAAGCTTTTCAGACAGAAGTTCCAGAAACTCCGTGACGGTCTCTACAAAGAAAATGAGAAGGTAAAAGCTGTCACCAGCGATGTGAAAGGGTCCCAGTTCAGCAGGCACTGGTGCTGCGATGGTCTCTTTTACCTGGGGTTTTGGCCATTGTTCCTTTCAAAGCTCTGTGAGCAAACGACTGATAGCCCACCAGTCTAGCCAACTCATTCCTGCAAGCCAGCAGCTCATCCAGACAGCACAGGAGGTCCGGGTTGGGGTACAAGAAGATTTTATACGCAGCTTCCCGGACCTAATGGTGCAGTTTGAAAAAAAAAACAACAAAGCGCTTCAGCTCTGTCTATGAGGGTGCGCTGCCCTCTGTTTAATGTTTGCCAGTTTCTATAAAAATTATGAAAGTTCTGGTTTGAAACAATTTTTTGTCAAAGGTACGACCATTCCACTTGTAAATATACATCCGATGACACCGTTTTGCAATGTTTTAGCGCCATCTGGTGGTTAAGTTGGAGGAATAGTTCTTAACCCCCACTTAATCACCCGAACCTGCAAAGGGTTCAAGTACCTTAGTAACTGGCAGTTAACCCCAATAACACAAAATAAAAACACACAGCACATTGTAACAGCAGCAGTGAACAGTGACAGCGCAGACGCACCAGGTCGTCCGGAGAGTCAGCGTGCAGCCCCGCGACCTGGATGTAGTTGCCGTCGAGGGAGAAGCAGTGGCGCACGTGCTCTGGCAGGGCCCGCTTCTCGATCTTGTTGGGGAGGTGGGAGCCCAGCAGGAACTCGTTGTTCAGGTCCAGCAGCCTGACGTTGAGGCTCACGGCTTTCTTGCGCTGTGGGACGCGAGACGTGAGCAAACGGAAGGCGAGAGGCAGGAGCAGCAGCAGTGGCTCGGGCACCGGTCATGGGGAGAGGCGCGTTACCTTCTCTTTATCCAGATGAATTCCACTGATCTCAAAATCAAACATGAAAAGCTCCGCGACTCTCCTGGAAGTACAGCAAAGCACGACACTGAAACCCACCACTGCCGACTTCAATTCTGCTACAACATGGGACGTAAAAGAAACATCACATTCGGAAACTGTAAGATGTTCACATGTCTGAGTTTCCGGAGATCAGAAATCTTGCTGGAGATGTCAGGTGTGAGGTTTATGTTAAACCTGTGTGCTCCCCAACTGGGTCCATTGCTGTATCACAACTACACTGCGCCAATTTTACCAGGGAGACAAATCCCTGACAAGACAGACAATCTCACAAGGAACACCATTCTGGGATATGTTTGTTCTTAAAAACAGGCAAAAGTCACTCCAGTGATGGGAATGGGGATTTTAATGGGTTCTGACAACTTTCACTGGGTCTGCAGATTGAACTGGGTTGATGTTCCTACCACAACCACAATTTGTATTTGTTTTACAGAGGTACCTCGTTTCTGGGTCCAGGGAATCCATAATGTCCTTGTTATCCAACAAATCCTTCAGACTCTTGCAGAGGTCGACGTTTGTGTTCAGCCTGCGGAGAACAGGGACGGATGAGCAGAATTCCCGCGCCAGGATATTTCCAGCGCACGCTGGGACCGCCCCGACACTCACTTCTCGACCACTGTGCCAATCCTGATGCAGGTCTTCTCCGCCGCCTCCCGGTACGCAGCGTCAGGGTGTGCAACCTTCACGAAATCCGCCTACGGGACGAGACAAACACCCCCGCGTCCGGTAAAAGCCAACACTTATTTCACGTAGTCCTGATTTTCTCCTGGGCGCCGACGGCTGAGATATTTGAGAAATAACACCTTGAGCTGAGGGCGTGCGCGCGTGGTGGGGGGGACACAGAAGGAAGGGAGCTTTACCAGATCGGCCACTCTGCACAGGCTGTCGGACAGCTGGTCGAAGGTCTCCACGACCTGCGGCCCAGGCCTGGAGGCGCAGACTCTCTCCACCAGGCGCTCCGTCTGCCGGAGGGCCTTCTCCTGGGCGACTTCGAACCCCTCGGGAGAGCTCAGCTCCGGCACGGCAAACAGGCCCTTTCCAGGGAAAACAGAAAGCTCCTGTACAGTGTGCGCTGGAAGGCCTTACGAGCCCACTGGAATCACCACACAGTGCTGGCGGAGAGGCTGTTTCCATGGGGGTTGTGTCCCTGAGAGCGGCTGGGAACTGACTGCTCTTGGGACCGAGGGCGTGCGAGGTTCAGAAATCATTCGCCAACTGCGCCCCCACGAACAGTGATGAGTGCAATGGGGCTAAGCAGGATATCTTAGCCACTGTCTAGCAACAGGGCTGTGCCTAAAACGGCGATCAAGTTAAGTTTTAATTTTAAGTCATTTTATTTCCTTGAAATAAAATTTCCATTGAAATGCATGGAGCCTCCTTCTTGGTCGTCAATTTACCAATTACAAAGATAATGAGCGTATTAAGGGAAATAAGGAACAAGTAATAGGTTTATTTCATGCTGAAAAAAAGAAGAAAGAGAACACAACGTTTCGGTCGTGGAGCCTTCTTCAGGTGTGGAAATAAGTTAGGTGCTTTTCCTATCGTAACACTGCAGACAGAGCCGTTAAGCATAACTCATATCGCCAAGATTAACTGGTCCGTCTAAACACTAGCATACAGACCAGGACATAGGTCACATGTAACACGTCAGCGAGGTATTTGTCAGGATTCTTTTTTTGCTTACCACGTTTTTACCGAGAAGATCCAGCTTTCTGTGTTGTCTCGCATTGAAGGCAGCTCCTACCGGAGACCAGGACGTCGTGACATTTCTGACGAATGTCCTTAGGCTCGCATGCTTTAAAATACTCAGAAATCGTTTACTGGTCATCATGATTTGGTCCTGTGTTTCAGTATTCAAATAACTATTAGCCTGTTGGGGATTTAAGCTAAATGAGCTATGTTTGCAATGAAGAGCTTCCGAAATTTGGATCAAAACGCCAGATGTAATGTATCCACGACGTCCTAGCGATAATTTGATGCGCCGATTTCCGTAGCCATGAAAACTCATGCAGTCTTTGAAACAGTTTCACAAATGTCAGCCGAGTCTGTCCGGAATACTCAACATTGCTGCTCGACACTGGGAGCAGACATATTGGTAATTACATTCGGGGCTTTCAGAAACGACTATTCGATGTTCTTCATAACAATAATTACTTCGATGCATCACCTTGTAAACAGCACAGTACTTAACTTTGTATAAATTGTATATAATTTTATAAAAGAACATATGAGTGTTTTTTGTATATATTTCATAGTTTTCAAATGTGCGAATCTGCTAGGGTTCCTCCGATAGCAAACTGTTGACGTCATTTTCCTGCGACTAGGTCAAATTACATTGTTTTATATTCCTCTGTAACGGGTTTTGTACGCTGTTGAAATATAGTTTAAAGCAGGTATATACAGAAATATTGAACTGTAAAATTTAAATTGTGTTCTGTTTGCAACTGTGCTCGAGCTGTAAGATTAGCAAAAAAAGAATCAGGTGGTTTCTATCGGGTACATGGTGCTTATTTAAGCGTCTAAAAGAAAAAGACGATTGAGGGCAGCACCTTAAACCCCAGAGAGACAGTTGAGGGACTGTATACCTGGCGGGTACTCGGCGTTAAAAAATCCGCAACAAAATTCGAAAACGCTAACACTTAACAGCGGCTTATGTCACCGAAATTGATTTTTCTTTTAGTCTCAAAAACAAAACGGGGGAGATCTGTACCCCACTTGATTGAGTTGGCGGCGCTGTGGCTGGTGGGCATGGAGGTCTTCTCTAATCGCCGCTCTTGATGGTGGCCTAGGCGAAACGGTTGACTTTCCCCGTAAACAGCCACCCAGCCTGATGAGGGCCGCCCGCAGACTGGGACCAGGACGCTGGAGGCGGGAAGCTTTATCGGCACACCGCTCCTATATACCCAGTCACACCAATCACTAACATTTTTGTTTTCTTAAACTACTACAGTTGAAGGGAAAAGTTAATCATAGTTGGGGGAAAAAAAAACGAACAGCAAAATTATAGGAATTTACGTGGCAAACGTCTTATCAGTCTTGGGGGAGAAAAAAATGTGGAGACCTTTTAGTAAAAATGTGAATTAGTTACAAATTCGCAAAACACTAATGATTTTCTGAGTTTTGCCTAAATTATTTTAAGTTGGGATAACGTTTATGTTCCTCCTTATACAGATGACAGCTGGTTCATGTTTATACAGGGAAGTAAAACATGCCTAGGACTCCAGTACAGTGTGGCAAGCAACTTCAATTTCACATAAAGCAGCTGTCCTCTTAATCAATGCTCATGTTTCTGGAGGAGGAGGTCACTGGGTCATCTAGGGTGATGTAATAGTTCTCCTCAAACATTTGACATCTGTTAGGGTCTGTCTGAAACAATGCTGGTTTGCAGCTAAACTGCCTCCAGGCAAGTGGTGTTGGCCTTGAAAATATAAATGCTCTGAAGTACCAGCAGTTAGATCAGAGACAAACTATCACATACCAGACATCCCAGAAAAACAAAAAACATGGCACAAAGTTACCTTTATCCATAAAAAGAATTCAGTATGCAATTGTTTACTCTCCCATCTGCTTTATTGGAGCAAACAGCATGATACTCCGAACCACTAACAACAAATGGAACAAAAAAAATCATTTTAAACCAAACTAATTCTATACAGCAATTCAATTTCTGATTAGCTTCAACAGCTTTTAACTACACGCAAAGCAGACCTGGTCCTCTGAATGAGGTCATTCAAGGTCAGTTTGCAGTCCCAGTTTTGGGTTTAACGTTCAGACATCACAAATACCTGTAGTTTGGCAACTGTGATTTTATAAGCCAAAAGCAGCTCCCCTCAACTGTGGGTCAACGCCAACACAAGCGAACAATGAAAATGTCATTAACAATGGAAAATTAAACATGAGATGTAAAGACATTCTGGAGCCTTTCCTAACTTTAAATTGTAAAGCAAAATAAACCATAAAAATTCAAACTTCTTCTTTATTCAAAACAAAAAATGCTATTTTACCCACATCTCAAGAACACGTTCTGAATTCTAAATTCAAAGAAGTCTGAGTTAAGTACAGTTCTACGCTCCGGGTTAGGTCTCAAAGGTGATTTTAATACTGAAACAATACAAGGATGACCTATACCCAAGCAAGTCTTCCCAATATGAGAAACTGTTATGCTACAGAAACTAAGATAGAATGGGGAGGATTTTTTTGGGTATTCTGCACTTGGCAAGTTACCAACTAATTTTGGAAATAGAACAAGGCTGAACAATAAATATGAATGTCGGACACAGCGCTGAAGCCACTCCGCACAACCCACTGGTTTGAGAGACTGCCTTTTGATGGTTCTTTGGCACTTTAACTCCAGAACCTGAAGAGATTTCATTTCTGTACGGTAGAATTATGGTTCTGCAAACACCTTGATTACACTCCCCACAAAGTTCTCATTCCCCAAAGTGTTAGGACAGACATTAAGGTTTTCCCTAACTTCCACAGATAAGCTTTTGATATGACAAAAAAGGGCTCAATGGTTGTGCAATGTGGCACGTAGATAAAATTTAAGCATCTTTCTACAGCTGTCAAATTTGCAGTGTACAAAGTTCGTGGCTCTCTGGAGTAGTGTCAGGAGGGTGGGGCAGATTTGTTCAAGGCCAGTGCATATGTTTGAATTTATTTAAGAAAGGGTTGCTTTGATTTTCATAAAGAATGCATGAGAGTTCAGTAAACTTTTCTGACCCCTGAGTTTCTAATGCAAGACTAGTAAATGAAACGCCTCTGTATTTTAGTGTAAGCCAGCCAGCAATATCAGGTTAATTATTAAGAGGTATATTTAGATAGCACCCAAGCGGCTAATGCTTCCCCACAAACCTTTGACTAGCTGGCCAAAATCACAAAAGCTGAACGTGAACAGATTTTTTTGCTCAATTAAACCTGTGGACATATTAATATTTGCCCCAAGAAAGAGGCACAATACGGTATCTGTGCTAACCATTGTGAAAACAGCAAGTAAATGCCTTAGTAACAGTTCCTAAGCTCTATAAACCTTTTCATAGAAAATATAAATATCCCTGAATGAAACTGATTCACAGCATTTTTTCTAAAGGTTTCCAGTGCTACTACATTTCCTTGACAATCACGCGTCTTGAAAGTGTCCCATAAGTTATGGCCGAGGACGAGCCCGGCGCCGCTCCGCCTCGCTCCCTTCACTCGCTGTCGCGATACGACACGGTCCGCCTGCCGCGATTTCTCGTCCGGATGCGGGAGGCTTGCCGCGGCTTCCTGGGGGCGGAAAAGACTTCGCCGCCATCGCTGTCGACGGCCGACGCCTTCCTCCGCTTCCTTCCGGAGCGCCGGGCGGCTCCCTGGCTGCTGCAGTCCGTGTCCCCAAAGCGGCGCCCCCTGCCGCCGCCGCGGACTCGGGTATGTGGCCCCGAAAGGAGCGACGCGGAAGAGCCGCTTTCCTCCTCGCTGCCAGACCCAGTGCTCCAGCCGCCGCCGCCGCTGCTGCTGCTTTCCCATCTCCTCTGGTGGCTCGAGCTGCTTCTGTTCCTTGCGGCTGCGACGTGCGGAGCCGACCGGATCGTCCTGCCTCTGGATCTCGGCTCCTCGTCCTCCGAGAGCCCGTCGCTCTCATCGCGGTCCCCGTCGTCGTCTCCCTCCTCGGCTTCAAAATCGCTTGCCGATTCTTCTTCACAGTATTTTTTTCTAAATGTCTGTTCCTCTCCGTTTCCTCTAGAATGGCGCTCCAAATTCCGCAGGCATTTCTTTTTGATGGGGAGGTTATCCTCGGAATCGGAGAGGCGCCTCTTCCTGAGGTTGGCCCGACCGCTCGGCTCCCGCCGCCTCCCCTCGTCCCGAGCACCGGTCCTCCAGAGTTGGCCTTTTTTCCTGGATTCCAAGCCACCTTCTGTTTCGGACCGCCATTCCTCTTCCTCCGAGTCCTCCGTGGCATCTCTTTTCCGGGGCAAGGCTCGCAGACAAGGTTTTCTGCCGGAAAACACTCTCTCCTGACGGCCAGGCTGCTCTTCCTGGGAGTCGCTGTCTGTGCAATGCGATTTTCCTGCATCACGCCGACTGCTTGCCTCCACCTCCACGCCTGTGCCCGCTAAGTAACCGGAAGACCATTTCTGGTAGACAGTGCTTTCAGTACAGCTACCCCTACAGTCCAGCTTACCACCGTGTCTCCTGGAAGAACAATGATCCTGTTCTCTGCTGGTCTTGCGCTGGGCGTCCTCTGCAGGCTCTGAACGCTCCTCCGACGAGTCTCTCTCCTGCTGGAGCCTAGTGCTCCTTTCAGAGGCGGCCGCAGTGGGCAGGTCCCCAGGGTCTTCGCTCTCAGACAGAGAGTCTTCCCTCAGGACTGCGAAGGATTTCCTTTTACAAGCACGGGAAAACTGTTCCCTGCTGTGACTGGCTTCGTCCCCGTCAGCGGCAAACCTGCGAGCCTGCCGCATGTTGTACCTGCGTTTGGTGCGATGCGCCAGACCCTCCTCTGAGGAAGCCCTGTTGTTGCAGTCCACGCTTTCAGACACCCACCTATCCCCAGGTTTCACAGTTGGCGTCTTTCTCTGGGCTGCACTCCGAGAAGGCTGCCTGGCCTCCTCCTCGCTCGAGGCAGATTCTGCTCCCTCGCTCTTGCCGTTCGACCGTCTGTGCTTGTTGTCTTCGCTCGATTCTTCGGTTTCCTCGGCAGAAGCCAACACCTTCCATCTTGAAGCTGAAGCCGCAGGGCGTCTGCAATGGGAGGGCTGTGGTTCTTCCTCCTCAGTGCCAGACTCAAGCCTCTGGCTTTTTAAGGGCAATTTACCCTTTTTATGTTGCAAAGACACTCTCCCCTTATTATCGTTTCCAACGTGCTCTTCACTCTCCGAGGTGTGTCCTCTCATCCCCTTCTTCTGCGTTAATTTCTTCCCATTTTGGAGAGGACACTTTTGGCCGCTATTTCCCACCTCCACGTCCAGGACAGACTCCTCTTCGGAGCTGCTCTCCGTGTTCAACACCTTCTTGGTGGTGGTGGTTCTCCGAGGGTACCGCCCACCACCCCCTTCTCCCAGGGGCGGCAGCTCCTCGTCATCCTCAGTCATCATCTTCATTTTGCTGGCAGCAGCAACCGCCGTCTTCCTGGCCGACGGCCTCCGCCTGATTCCCTCCTCTTCGGCGATGGCTCCCATGGGTCGACGAGCCCCCCGCCTCCTCGCTCTGCTCGTGCGAGAGGTCCGACTGTGACCGTTCACCTGAGCACTTCTCTCTACAACGAGAACAGGCCACAGTAAACGCCAAACGCAGCTGAGCCACAAGGTCAAATTACTCTAGCATATCAATTACTAGTTGAATAAATCTAAAAACCACAGATGTGGTCATGCAATAGTATCTGGGTGTCAGGGATGACTCACCTTGGCTGCTCCTGGTTGCCCTGCCCCTGCAGGTCCCTCCGGTCTCCCCATTCTGATGGGGACGAGACGAGGCCAGAGGTTCATCTCGGCTCTCCTTCGAGCTGCTGGAAGACTGCTCACCTTCTCTCGACCCTTCAAAATTAAATAAAGTGACTTAATTGCGATAAGCAATTCCTGGCACCTGCTACCTGTATTTTTAATGTCAGTGTATCAAGGGAATGCTAACATGCCACCTCTTAAGATGAGCAAAAAAAACATGCTAAAACTAAGCCAAGTGGCATGTTATCGGTAGATCTGGTTTTATTTAAAAATAATAACAATGCCTTTATAGTCAGGCTTAAAACACTAACAAATTTAATCTCTCAAAGGACAAAAATCTCTTTAAGGACACGACCAGGTGAAGAGTACCTCTATTCTAGTAACGTGGTTCCCAAGCAGCCCGGCCTCACCTGAGCGAAGGTCACCCTGGGGCGACGTCTCCTCGTCCTCAGAGCTGCTCTGGATGCTCAGCTTGCGCTTGTTCACCCTGTGCCGAGGCCGGCAGCCACCCGCCTTCCCATCATCCTCCTTTTCAGAGCAGGTCGACTCCTCGTCATCCTCGGTGGTGCTCATCACCTTCGTCTTGTTGGCGGCAGCCACAGCCGCCCTCCTGGTCGACGGCCTCCGCCCAATCTCCTCCTCCTCCTCCTCCTCCTCCTCGCTGTCAGTATGCGAGTCAGAAGGCCCCTCCCCATCCGAGTCACTCGCCCACTCGTCCCGGGAAATTCTGCTGCCGTGGCCGTTCACCTGCACGCCGGTCTCTGGTGAAAGAGCACACCGGCCTTTTCTCCTCCGCAGACTGCAATCAGGGCGCAGGCTGCCTACAGCCACCGACATCCCTTCGATCCGGGACCTCTGGCCAGAGAACGGCTCCAACTAATGAGAACCTAATCTTCTGCAGGTGGGACCACGTTTAAAGTTAGAGTGTGTTCCAACCAGCCATGTGATTACGGCCCGAGAGCTATGAACAGTCACAGAAAGCTCGGCTGGAGAGGCCCTGCAGTTAAACGGAGGGGGGATGTGCTGCCCGAGTCCGCACGCCTCCTCCCCACCAGTCCTACCTGGCCTTTCCCGTCCGGCCGCAGCCCTGTTCCTGGTCACCCTGCTGCCGGACGCCCCGGCTGCTCTCCTCTCTCCGCTCCGCGGGCGCGCGGCACTGCCATCGTCGCTGTCCTGGGGGCTGCTGGAAGACGCCTCGCTCTCCGACACTGAACCCAGGGGGCAGAGGGGTCAAAGTGAATGAAAAGGGCAGATTCTTTTCAACTAGACTCCCAGCTGTCTGTTCCGTTTAACTGCATTCAGTTGTCTGTCCTGCTCACAAGTATGACAAATTTGGGACTGGTACTAGTGAAAGGCAGACAAAAGTACACTGATACACCTTTGGTTGGGTGAACTTTCATTTTCCAAAACTTCTCACTTTTACAAAAAAAATAAATTCCCCAGACCTCATGGAAATCACAGGGGTACACAAATACTTTCCCCACAATGCCTCCCGCTCACATTCCTCTTATTGGCCAGTCAAGTATGGACCTCACAGCGTTGGGAGTTACACATCAGCCATATTGTGAAAAACCTTTTCGGATTCCTCTGACAAAATGTGAGCTGCTGCTGCTCAAAAGGCAACTGAACTTAAGAGACGAGGCAACAAACTAAAACCCATCTCGATTTGACTGGGGGAAACAATTACAGCGCAAAGCATGTAAACCCAGTATTTTAAAGCTTAACCTCGTGAAAGGACATTTCCACTTTACCAGTTTTACAAAGCATTTTTCCCCACCCGTGCCTACTAAAGTGATGAATAGATGTACATGTGCAGATGTTGCTGTTAGCAGGCAACTGACTCGCCGAAGAGCTGATCGTACCTTGACGCCCCCCCCACCCCACTGCCCGACCACAGGCACAGCAGCCTGCTAACAGGTTTCTCACCTGGCCTCTTCCAGTGCTGCGCAGGCCTGTTCCTGGTCACCCTGGCTCCGCCCACCTCCCTGCTACCATGGCGACGCGAGGAGGAGACCGAGGCCCTGGAACTGCTGCTGGAAGACGCCTCGCTCTCGCTCTCCGAGGCTAAAAAACACGACCGGGACAAGCTCTGGGCACAGGGGTGCTTTCCATTCACCTTGTAGCAACCTATACAGAGCCCGCCGGGCAAGTTCAGGTACAGCAGATGGACAATTACCAGAACTTCATCTCGGAGGAGCGCAAGCTCTTTTGCACTTCACATGAGAATACTCACTTCAGCAGACCAAACATGCCAAGCAGGATTCACTCAGTGCCGGTATAGCTTTCCACGTGGAAAACCTTAAACACGATTACGAGTGAGTGCTGGAAAGCGTAGTGCCAGACTAGTTCACGCTATTAAACCGGCCCGTGAATTTCCATTCGAATTATTTCTGCATGTGACCATGTATGGACGGGCTACGTCTCGCCACAGAAATGACCCTCACAGTCTTTATCATGGGCACCACATTTTGAAAACGAAACAATTGTTGGGAGAAAAAAAACACACCGTGGCGGGAAACTGGAATCTTGAGGAATGTCTTACTGGTCGTGGACTCCTCGGTGTTGTGCCCTGAGGCTGCAGAGAGGGCTTTGTCGGACGCTGAAGAATCTTCTCCAGACGAGACACCTCTCCTCCTCCTCCTCCTCCGGAACCGCGCTGTGGCAGACGCTTTGGCTGAGGTAGATGTCGTACAAGTCTTGGATGATGTTTCCACCTCTTCCTGAGCTTTTAATACCTTCCCTTTCCGACTAAGAAATGCGAAACACAACAGGAAATAAGCACTTCTGCAACGCGTTTTCAATGTACAATATGCATGTCAACTCCGAGGACTACAGGGAACACAGACGAGCGCACAAGCGGCGCCTCCAGGATTTATACGGTCAGGGGATGCCAACAGCCTCCGCACAAACAGCCGAGATGGAACGCAAGGCAGACACAAGACACGCTCCACCATAAGTGGAGACGTTTCTGGACCACCGCGGCGCAGACGTACCCGGAAGCACGGCAGCCAGACTGCAGCGGCTCTCGGTGCTGCAGCCTCCGCCGGCACCGCTGGCTGCGCCGCAGCGTCTCGCTGTGCTTCAGCGCCGTCTTGTAGTCTGGGATGATCATCCTTATCCGCTCCTCAAAGAAGGCGGAGAGCCGCAAGGTCATGCTGTAGATCTGCAAAAGCCACAAGAACGAGGGGCTTACTATCCGCACAGATGCTTAAGGCACTTTCTCAAGACGGACAGGCACAGGCATCACCCATACCTTCGAACGCTTATTTGGTGTATAGGCTTTTGCATTAAGGAAGATGAGGCGGATATCTTTGCATAGCTCGACTGGATTCTCATACTTGTCCTCTTCCAGAGTCCGCTTCACCGTCCCAAAATCCATCGGCGTGTCAATGATGTCCCGATAGTCCTGAAACACGCACGTGAAACCATCACTTCTCCTGCCATCAGTGCAAAGCTATGCACAGTATTACTGAACAATACTTTATAACAACTCACTGCCTACCCAGTTTCTTTAAAACCCACTAAATCAGCTTGTCCACAGTCAGGATGCTCGCATTATATCATTAAGTGCCCAGAAGGAGCTTCTTGTGTTAACTGTTTGCACAAATTAAAAAAACATAGCAATTGGCTCATCAAGCAACTGTAAAGAATTCGTCGTACAAGGCCACGTTTGTGGGCAATGTTTTCTGGACGGAGACTGAGCGGTTCCCACCACTTATGTAAGCCAAGAGTAATAATTCATACTTATTTTCTGGACACTTTTTTCTGGGCGCTTTTCTAGACACTCCACTCAACACACTCCACCACCGGCATGCCGCCCCACCTGGATGATGCAACGGCAGCCATAGTGCACCAGTATGCTCCCCACACACATGAAGCCAATTTATTAGAAGGCCATGACAGCTCTCAGGAACAGCTCAGGAATCTGTGCAATGAAGGCTGTGTTCACAGGCCAAGGACCAGCGACTTGTTGGGATCCAGCTATTTCCCATACCGGATAGTCATCCGGATCGACAGGCTGCCGGAAGGGCTCGGAGTCCTCGCACTCCAGGATGTAGTCCACCAGCAGCTTGCACTGGTCCTTCCAGGCATCGACGTCGTAGAGAAACTCCATATTGCGCTGCACCGAGAGAAACAGTCAGTGACAGAAAACCACCGAACAAACTTCAAGTCCCTCTGCAGCCAAAAGAACGAAGACCCAGAAGAGGACAGTTAATTTGACGACAACAAGAAGCGAATGCCAATTCTTTACTCCACCTCTTGACATCTCCAAGTGCTTATAAAGGCCAACAATTCCTTGGATTTATACAGTGCTTTTTGTCCCCAGAGCACACAAGTGGTTTACACTAAGGGGGTCCACTTCATACTCCACTGAAGTGCAGCCCCACCTGGCAGACACAGCAGGAGGCGGCCAGCATGTATAAACCCAGGGTGGAATGCCTCTGCTCTTCCAAAGGATCTTGAATTACTAAAAGCAGTCAGGACCCCACTTTAACATCTCACCCAAAGCAGCACCACCTACAGTGCAGTGTCCCCCCCATCATCGCACTGGGGCACTGGTTTGGAAATTTGGGTGGAAGAGTGCCACAAACTGGTCCATAAACACTATGAAGAACCATGAAGTAACCTGGTTTTCCTCAGAGTTCTCACACAATTCAAGCTCCTGACTCCATCTGGACTAAAACAAGACTTTACAGGCTCTTCACAACAATGCAAAGTTGCTCAAAGAATGTTACTTGTCTCAGGTTCCTTCCCGAGGAAGTTCCAGGTGCATCTGTGTCGTCCAGCTCCTAAAGAAAGGTTCAGACACACCTGTCAGTATCAGCACAGGAGCTGCCACTCGCTGCTGAAGACCTTCCATTGAGACCACAGCTGCAACACTGACTGCTTTCAACAGCGCAAAGCTTAGTTTCTGGGCTCTCCGCTCTTCAGCAAAGAAATTCAGTGATGCAAACGTTTTATATACTGAGTGACGTAATTGTTTTGCCCCTTCATTGCCAAAGTAGCACAGTTTCATGAGCAAAGCATCATTTATTTGTTTTTATAAACAAATTGGAAATTACAAGAAGAGTAACCCTAATTCAATTTCCTCACCTCATCTTCAGTGCAGCTCAGATCGTCCATCGTGTTGTAGATCTCCAAAATGTCTACACAGTCCTCTTTACTAAAAAAAGTTAAAAAAAAAGGCAATATATTTCACACCTTGTACAGTATATCATTTGGTTAACATTTAGGTCAAAGGTTTTCTAAAGTTACATGCATCCTTTGCTAAATAATAACTCCACCTACTCAAAAGACAGCTCAACAAAAACAGCTCCCCACGGCAGCTCAACAAACACCTACTTAATGAACTTGAGGAGGACGTCTGTGATCTTCTTCGCCGTCTGTGCAATCTTGCTGCTTGGCTCATTGAAGGACCTGGCATTGAGCTCAATGTACCTCACCTCCCAGACTAAAGCCGAGATCCTTCTGCAAAAAAAACAAAAAATGATAGTCATTACACAGAAATAAGCCAATTTTAGATTAAAAAAAATTATGCACCATCTTAAAAAAATCTGAGCACAGCCTTAAAGGCACACCAACTGCTGATTGCTTGGACGGGTACTGCTGCTCTTCAATCAATTTCCAGAGCGCCAGCAGGACAGGAGGAGGACAACACTGACCTGTAAAACCGATTCACCAGCCTCATTCTGATGGTGCTGAGGTCGGTAGGGTACGCCACCACCCTGCAGTAGGTGGGATACTGAACAAGGTCCACCGGGCCAGCAAAGGGAGCCGCGATGTCTGCGGGTCAAAGAAAGCCGTCAGGTCCAGGCGTTATTCCCGACACCGCCAAGCCACGCGGGCCACTTCAAGTTTCAAGGCACACACACACACCAGCAGCAATATCACCCCGCAACTCACAACTGGCAGCCCACTTAAGCCCAGCGGAGGGGAGACTCCTGGGAAAGCTAAGGCTGCTGCCGGAAAAGGTGTTAGTGGGGCCAGTAGGGGGCCTGTAAAAAGGCGCTGTCCTTCTGATGAGACGTAAAACCGAGGTCCTGACTCTCTGTGGTCATTAAAAATCTCAGGGTGTTTCTCGAAAACAATAGGAGTGTTACCCCAGCTACCTGGCCACATTTCCCACTGGCCTTTTTACCAATCATGGAGTCCGAATAATCCCCATCTATAAACTGGCTTCATCACTCTGCTCTCCTCCCCACTGAGGCTGCAAACTGGTGGGTTGGAGGGGATCCCTATTACCAATAAAGCACTTTGAGTGGAGTGTCCAGAGAAGCGCTATATAAGTGTAAGGAATGATGATGCCGATTACGATTACAGATGGGCGACGGCCCATCAGACCAGCAGCACAGGCGCGAGAAGCGCAGGGCACCTTACCGAGGGCCACAAGCTGATCGATGCCGCTGATGATCCGCTCACACTCCTCGTCCCGGCCCCGCCGGCCCCACTCCCCGCGCCGCGGCTGGTACAGCAGCTCGCTCATCTCGTCCGAGGTCACGGGCACGCTGCCTCCCACCGTCTCGGGGTGCTGGGCTGAAACCGGAGGCACAGAGGCGCGTCACCCACCCGCCGGACCGGAAGCCGCCGTGCGGCCCAGGCGGCTTGCGAAGCGAACAGCAGCGCCGTGAAAAACGGTCCCGCGTGAAACATCTGAAGCACCGACTTGTTTTAAAGCTCTTTCTGAAGCGCGTACTGTATCATTCCCGCTGTCCTACAAGCTCCCAGAATGAGTTCACTGTACCGTTCGGTGGAATAGGCTCCACATCCCAGGGGCTGAGCTTCTCCGTCTCTCCATTGTCCCACCTGAAAAACAACAGCGTGTGAAACCGCAGACAGGTCTGATCACTCACTTCCACTCCATGTTGAGCACAGGGAGAATATCAGAAGGGAACCAAGACCACCATTGCTTCTCACTGACACATAGCCCCAGCGCTTAGTCTTCAAGCGCAGGTGACAGGGAACACGAAGCAGGGTTTTGCCAACAACCTCATTCTCAAGCCTATTTTCTAACAGTGAGGTTAAAGCCACTAGATATTGGGACTGATTCAGAATACTTACAGCTGAGCTTTCCCAAAGAGACAAAAAAAAAAAACTTGTACTTTTACGTGGTTTTCAAAAGCCAGATACTTAATCAGATTCTTTTTCAATGCCAATTTTCCATCCTATAATTCATCGTCCATGAAATCTCGCACCCTGCCCTCCTCTTCCCTAGCTCCTGGCAAAACTCCGGGGCAACATTTCCCTTTCCTTACCGCACGGTGAAGCACTGAAAGTGACTGTCGGGATACTCCGGCTGATACGGCTCCTGACACACCAGAGTCCCAAACCACCAGGCGTCGTCGATCACAGATCGGAATCGGTCATCTGAAATTCCAGACGTTGAAATCCCATTTCGTCTATGCATTGCAACAGAACTCAATTTTCATTGGTACAGACCAAAGATCCCCTACATAATTCAAGTGTACCCTCGATTTTTATATTCGAGCATATCTCAATATACCGGACCATCTCATGAAAACATTTAACTCTACAAAGAAAATACAATTTCCAAAGCCCTCCCTGAACATACGATACACATATTTCTGGATTTCAAAGTAAGAGCCTCAAACCTCAGTGATGCGATTCTTTTAAACTTACTTGGCTGCCAGTTTCTCTGCCAGGCTTCATCATAACACTGCCTCAGGACAAGGAAGTCAATCACATCTGGCATGTCGTGGTACCTGCACAACGGGCGAACAGCTTCATGACCTTCGTGACGTTAACTACATGCTTCTGTAATCATCCCTCCCTGAAGAGCAGGCAGGGGTCCCCATGGCAAATGAACAGCTCTCCTACTTCTGAAAACATTTTCTTCTCGACCAAGCAGATATTTTCAAGTTTCTTGTTATACTTGAACAAAATCTAAACACAAGCTGTTATTCCATGTCTGCAATGGAAGACTTACTGTACATAAACGACAGCAAGTATGACAACGCCTAAAAAAAGTCATGCTCGCCTAAAAAAAACACGCAAAAGTAGAGAAATTTAACTTCAGGCAGACAAGTAGAAAATATTATAAACCTACAAAGCCCGCTAACATGAAGAGAGCTGTACCGACCCCGGTCCTGACCTGACACGTGCAAGGTACTTACTTTAGAGAGAAGGATTTATCCGTGAGTCTCCCTGTGCCGTGATCAATAAGAGAAAGCTTCAGGCAGCACAGTGTTGGAGGCGACACTTCATACTTGATTCCAGTGATTTTTACGAACTCTTGGTCCTGACAAAGTCAAAGTAGACAGTTATCCATTCAATTGTGAAAAGGGCAAGTTACCTGATTTTCAAAGACAACTGCTAAGGTTCCAGGAGGACATGCTGTCAGTGTATCAGAGGACTCAAAAAAAAAAAAAAAAAAAGAGTATAACCCATGTTCACCAGGCCCCCGCTGAGTATGAACAGTGAGCACTAAATGTTAAATGGGCCTAAAGAATCAGTTGGCTGTGTTAAAGCAACTACTCTGGTAGAGCTCTAAAGGAACAAGTAAAGGTTTATTCCATGCTGAAAAGAGAACACAACATTTCGGCTGTGGGGCCTTCTTCGAGAGCTTTAATACGTCCTTTGTTCACTCTGTTGGATTAGGAAAAATGACAATTTTAGGACTCAAAAGGATGTAACGTTTCTGTATTTTTTTAATTAGGCGACTGTCCCACAGGTCGCATCAGTTGGTCCCCGTTTCTGAACCGTGTGGTCTGGACACGCACGACACTGGGGCTTGCACAGACTTACTCTCAGGTCCATCTTTCTCCACGGCTGCTTCTCAAGGTTAAGGCTGTACAGGCTGCCTCTTCTCACGGCCTCCACGTACGCCTCATGGCCCTGGCGGAAGTAGATCACCTGCGGAGGACGGAGACGTGAAACAAAGCACACTACAGAGACTCTACAGCGGGGCAGTCTCCCCCTCTTCAATCTCCTGCCCCGCTGCTCCCAGCACATGACACCTTGAGCCATCACTCCCTTCACACGCCAGTTACAACCTGCCCTTCCTAGAGGGGCAGGAGAAGGGGGGCGCTTTCGAAGAAAAGAAACAGGAGAAGATTTACCTCGTCACCCATCTGAGGAACAAACGGTGATTTCCGGGGAATGACATCGGTGATCCAAGCGGAGGGACGGAACTCGTTTGAAACCTCTCTGTTAAATGATGGTCTCTGGAAACAAAGAAAAGAAAACGTTTCAGCCTGGATCACACCACAGCAGGAGCGAGTTTCGACTTCCGACTAACTTGTAGGGGAATATCAGTTCCTTCGCAGACACGTACAGTTGATACAATTCTCTAGATGAGCTTGTATTCACCTGCAACCTGTGTCTCGGTGCCTCTTCAAAGTACAGGTTCACGTTTTGCAATGACCACACTGGAGGAAACTGTTCCACATTTTGACGACCTATCACGCTAAGCGCAGGGATTCGGACACAGTCGTGCTGGAAACTGAATTGATGGGACTGGGGGCAGCGCAGGGCCTGCGGTGGGGGCGCCAATCTTACCCGGGGAGTTCTGTTCCTGGACCTCCTCTGTTTCGGAGGCTGAGGCGGGCGCTCCTCCTCGTCAGGAGGCTCCTCCTCTTCCTCCTCGGAGCTGCTGATCCACACCATTGCACGGTGGCGGGATGAGAGCCGGGTGGGCGGCTGCAGGTTTATGCCCGCGTCGGCTGTCCAGTCCGAGTACTCGCTGGAGGAGCTGCCGAGACAGGAGCATGGATCACTAGCCTGCAGGTTTTAAATGCACCTGCTTCTTCGGTTAAAAAAAACATTTTGGGGAAAAACTCGGGTGCCTAAGTGTTCCACACTTCTTAAAGCAATTTCAATGTAATTACACATTGAACAGGTCTCGTTATCAGTACCTGGAGCTTTCGGTTTTCCACTCCTCTGCCTCCTCTTCCTCGTTGGAAGACTCCGCTGAAGGTGCTCCGCTGACTTCTGTTTCGTTGCCCTGGACCGTAAAAAGCAAAACACACCTCCTGAAAAATGCATAGTCTGAGAGCTTCACGGTCCTGAAAAACCTTCACTGACGCAAGACCTGATAACATATGTTTCACGGTGGTTCAGATGACAACTTTATTACATCATAAAGATTCCAAACTCATGTTTTTAGCAGTCAGGTGCCCCTGACTGACACCTCTCTCTAGCAGCACTGCAGCTCTTCAGCTTACGATCCTTTCACATTAAAACTGCAGAAATTACTCAGATGAAGCAGGATCATTCTGTAGCAAGGGAAGCCTCTGAAAACACCCCACATCAAGACGGGTGAACACTAACCTCATCAGCAGAGCTTCTGGTTTCCTCCCCCTCCTCACAAGAGTCTTCTATGTACTCAGCCGCAGTGTTGCGGGTCCGAAGGCTCCTCACCCGCGGCCTGCGAGACTGCGTGCGTTTAGCGTAAGTCTTGTCATCGTCAGAATCGTCCTGTTTTTGAGCAGAGAAAAGGTTAACAAGAGGGAGGAAGCAATCAAGCCTATCGCTTAATACCGAGATCACGATCCAAGCATCTCACACAGCTGTTTCTTAACATCCACCCATTTATACAGCTATGCATCATACAGGAACAACTTGGGCAAAGTACTGTCAATTTAATTGTTTTACCAAGAATACCAGGATACTAGCAGTGGCCCTAGTATAGATCCCTGTGGCACTCCACTAGATCACCAAAATTAACAGTTCATGACATTACTTGTAGAATTACAGTACCTATAAAAGGATGAAATTATGCATTTCAGCTTTAGAATTGAGACTGATAATTTAGGAAAATATCTCCCCCCTTTACCCGTGCCCCGTGAGGTGGTCTCTTCTTCTTCGACAGGTAGAGTGAAATCTCCTCTTCCCCCTTGCCGATTCTGTACTCCTCCTGTCTCCTGCAAAGAGAAACATTTTGGCAAAAACCATGAAGCTTTTTCCTCCCCCAAAAAGCTCCATGAACAAAAAAAAATCTTCAATCTTTGATCAAGGTAGTCAAAATAACCTTAACACCGAACACCCCTTTGCCTGCTTTATTTAAAAATGCAGAATTTTTTAAAACTTTTTGTTGTGCTTCGCTACAAATCAAAGAAATAGAAAAACACGCAAAAGGGAATCCCAAAGAACTGGACTTTCACCGCGCACGTTTAACGAAGGCACCAGCGGTTCAGGCTCACCGGTACAGGCTGGGCGACATCTCCGGCACCACGACCCTGCGCTTCCAGGCCTGCAGGTCCCTCTCCGTGGCCATCTGGCTCCTCGGCGCGTTCTGGTGCATCTGCCGCACGCCCTCCACCTGCCCGCTGCGCCGCAGCCCCACGCTGGGAGACGACTGCACGTCCGCGCTCTGGCTTCGGAAAACTGGAGGGACGCGCGGCGGGGGGGAGAAAGAGTGACTTTAGCCTGTCGCAACCCACAAGGTAGTTATTAAATATTTCAAGGAGAGAGAAAAAAGCCACTGCTCAAAGTTTAAAGGTCTGCAGCAGTTCTCACAAGCAGATGGAGGTTTTTAGCTGCGGTTTAACAGTTCAGTTTATCATATGTACAAATGCAATGAAACACTTATTTGCATGTATGATCCACTACAAAGACATTAAAGGAACCCGGTCCACAACATGAAACAGACAAAAGTACAGACGAGGAGCAACACGTCGCCACTCTCTGGCGCCATGTTGGACCAATCTGACTGTGGTTGACGTCTACACGCAACTCCAAGAAACATCAACAAACGTCTGGCCCTGCTGAGGAGGAGGAGGAGGACTGCTTCCTCACCTCTGCGGGGGGTGCCTTCTACGCTGGGGGGTGCTCCAGGCTCTGCTCCGTTCTGCCTGTCCTGCTGCTCCTGCAGCTCCCGGATGAAGCCGTCCAGCATGCTGGGCTCCTGGCCCGCATCGTCCTGATCCCCGGTCTGCTGGCTGATCACCTGCTCCACCACATCCCCGTCACCTGGAGCGCACAGGCGAAACCTGCTCAGCAGAGGCACGCACACGGCTCCCTGCCTCGCCAGCCACAGAACCAACAATCACAGGCGCACTTCCCTCCGGCTTGCTCCCACATCCGATCTGGCGTTCCGGACCCTCCACTGACACAGACAAACGAACAACGGGGCTCGAACCCCCAAGAGCCGCCGGCCGCCCCACTCTTACTTGTCGCTACGTATCCCAGCTGGGGCACCAGGTGCTCGTCGGCGAAGCCCTCCCTGCCGGGGACGAGCCTCTGGTATCTGGGGGGGTGTGGGTTTCCATCCACATCCACCAGGAAAGGGGGCGGCATGAGGTGGGGTGCCTGCTGCGTCTGCTCATCCAGCACGTAATTATTCGCGTCTCGGATGAGGGGCCGGTAATCCGTGTGGAAAAACATCTGATCCGGAAGCTAAAGGAAAGGAAAGACGTAGGCGATTCGTTGATGGAATAAAAACTGGCAGCATCATGCAGTGTAGAAGCCTTGATAACAGCGCTAGCCTTGGAAGCACCTGAAAGACATCATTCTCTTGCCTTTGGATAAGACCTGAATTTAGAAGAGAACTAGGAAAAAACCTCAAATGTCATTAAGAACGCTAAAAAGAAACCAAATTACAATAAATGTAATATTGCAAAATTTCTCAAGCAGAACTGCAATGCGTCAATAAACGTAATGTATTATTTACACGAATTCAACTGCCGATCTCTACGTTTCAAAACATTTGATTCACAACATCCCGTTTTGAATGAACAGGATTCGTGAAACGTGCATATAGCCGCATCAAGCTTCTTGAACAGATGATCACTGAATGGTATCAGTGCTACTGCTCATCCTGCGGCTCCCTCTAAAAAGTCAACTTCACCTTCCGTCCAGTCTCACCTTCTCATAGGGCTTAGAGGATCCAAACCCAAATATGATCAGATGTCCGTGGGAGTCCGTGCAGGCGAAGTGCTGGCCATCTGGAGAGAACTTGCAGTCAAAAACCGCCCCGTGACCCTGCCCCTCAATCTGGTCAGGACAGAGAACAAAGGGAATACGGCTCACACCTCGCACAGAAGTGAATGAATGCCCCAGCAATCCGCATCAGGAAAATACCTGAGGTACAAGAGTTACACCTGCACCTCGCAGGATGGCGATACTAAAAGTACTGCGTGTGCAAACTACTGCACTCAACTCTTGCCACCTACTAACAGGTGCAACACAGACACAGGAGGCGTGCTCTTCCAAGAAGAGAAAAGCTGAAAAACAAGATCCCACACAATAGAGCCGATTACAGGCGATGGCCGTACCATGTTGAAGTAATGCTGGGTTTTCGTTCCTCTGACGACATCCCATATGAAGACATTGCCATCGTGGCCGGCCGACAGCAGGATCCGGGAGTCGAAGGGGTGAGGCTCCAACACGAAGACCTCGTCCTCGTGGCCCTGCAAGGCAGCGCAGACCGTTCCTGCTCGTGTGCGCTGCCGCGTGTGCGCGCGCACGCCCGTCAGGACAGCAGCAACACCACACGGGCGCCAGGCACTGCACGGTTTTACTTTCAGGTAGGCCACAGCCTCTGGCGTTCCTTCGCAAAACGCAGTTTATGCCAAAGCTGAAGATAAAAGCGTGCAAAAACGTACCTTCAGGACGTGAAGCAGCTGCCCCGTGTAGGAGTTCCACACCTTGAGGAGGTGGTTGTTGACCGCTGTGATGACGGAGTGGTCGTGTCGGTCCCAGGCGACCATCGTCACCTTCGACTTGAAGAAGCTTTCCTCCGCCGCCGCAGGAGCAGACCTCCAGAGGGGGAGAGGGGAACTCAAGCAGTGCACGACCCGAGCAGTCACCAGAGCGAACTCACTTCTTCTCTCAACCCGTTTTTTTAGGTTTTGCAACGATCTGTGCAGAGCCTACAGTACAGGAACTCACCGACTCCGTTTTACACAGCAACACGGAATCACATCTCCCTGGTTTTAAACAAAACACACACCATCAGATTTCCCACGCTTTTCCTACAACTCTCACTATTTGTGGGGAAAGAAGACGGATTCCTATCCAACCAGCTGTGCCACTGTTTCAGGTGAACATTCATCCATAGGGACCCTCTCCCTTCGAATGCTGGGGTGCCACTGGAGAACCCGAATTACTGCACCACAACCCAGGCTGGTTACCAGGTCTGGACCTACCCTGGTAAGTTAGTAGCCATGTCAAGTAAAATGCTTCTCCATCGCTGCTGCTGGAGCTTCCATATTCGAGCTGTACCGTCCCTGCTGCCGCTCACAAACCTAAGAAAGAGCACACAGGGAAACCCCTGAACCGAACAGCAACTAAAAATAAACACCGTCATAAAAACAACGGGCATTCTCCTGCAAGACAGGAGACAAATCTTACTGCGGAAAAAATGTCTAAGAAGCCCGAGAAAACATTACACAACGCCACAGACAACAAGCAATGCCTACCTGTCCCCGGTATTGCAAAACTGGATACTGTCAACTTTATCCTAAAAAATATAAAAAGCCAGGAAAACAGATCTTAATTTACCAAAAACTGACAAATTCCCAGAAGACAGTTAGGTACTACGGCTGGGGCTTACCGTGTGTGCCTCGAGCTCTGAACACCTCTCAGGGCTGCCACCACCCAGGTAGTATATTCTGATGACATGGTCAGTACTTCCTGTTGCCAAGAACATGCCACCTAGAAACATTTCCCAGGTTTAAACCACCGAGTCTCACACTCTATTGCAGCAGCCGGACACCGTCATCTCACGGTAAATCACAGCAAGCATATTTATAAAAATAGAAGCCAACACTATCAAGAACAAAGCCATCTTTGAAGACCTTAAACATGCTCACAGTGAAGATTCTGGGCAAAAGCCCTCACCCTCAAACACTCAATTTACAGATGACAAGAGGGTGTTCAATCATGATCAACAGAAGAGAGAGATATTCAGGAAACTATTCTTGCTTCAGCTGTGTCAAAAAAAATTTTAAATGTAATGAAATGCATTGGATTATTCAGGTATATATATATACAGCCCACCACAGTGAGATAGTTTGTTTTCTTCCCTGTTGCTAAAATGCAAAAAGAAAGCCATTCAAGTTTTTAATCTTTCCTTACCGGGACTAAATGAAGAACACACCATCTGAACACCGGGTCGGAGTCTTTTTGTAAACTTGTGCGGACGATCTCTAAATAATAAAAAAAGGGCGGTCAGAACACATTTTTACATTTATTTCTGGCACCACCCAAACAAATAAGAGATGTGGTTGTCTCTATTCTCGGTTTTGGAGGCTGTGTGAAACCAACAGCAGATTTTCAACAGAATTCCCCCATCCTGGGAGACACTAGGAACAGCGCCTGACTGTACATCACACTAATGTACAGTACTAGATGTCCGACACATTCGAGATACTCACACAAAACTTGTGTTGCTTGCGTCCCACTGCCAAAAGCACACCATCCCATCAGTGCCAGTGGACACCAAGTACCTCACTGTGCCCTTGGCACAAGGGGAGAACTGAAAGAAAACACCATCGTTACACTTATGAACACTTATAAATCCCGTAATAAATTAATCAGACGCCACAGCTCGTTCGCAGGGTAAGAGAACTAGGGCTTTAGAGTCTAACACGTTTGGCGATAAAAAGACAACTCTCCTGGGCTGAGCGATGGTCAGGTCCTGCAGGCGAAGACCCTACCTGCAGGGAGGTGATGGAGCCCGTGTGCCCCTGCAGCACGGCCACGGGGGCGCAGGTCCGGAGGCACCACACGCGGATCGACTTGTCGCAGCTGCCCGCCGCCATGAGCGTGTTCTCGAAGTTCACGGCCAAGTCAGAGATCTCCGCCGAGTGGCCCCTCAGCGTGGACTGCAACCTGCCGTCGAAAGAGGACCAGATCTTCACCAAACAGTCGTCAGAGCCCTTGAAGAGAATTAAACCACAGATCACAGTCGGGTCAGGCGGTCCTGGCGGCGCCACTCCTGCACACCTCACGACCACGCGGCGGCTCGGGCCGCGGCGCTCTCAAACAAACGCACGTCGCTGCACACAGCCCCCGCTCGCAGCTCAATGCTCATGCGCGCACATCCTGCTGGAAAAGAGGAACCAGGCCATCTTTCCAGGGACTGCGAAGAGGGACAAACAGCTTCCTGCCGTGGCAAAGGCAGCTGGCAGGCTAACAGCGGACACCAAGCGAACGTCCTTACGGTGAAAATGCGGAGTCCGGTGCGGTCGAAGGCCACGCAGTACACAGCAGAGAGGTGTCCCAGGATCCTCCTGTGCATCTTCATGCGCTGATAGTGGGTCACGGGACACGCAGAACTAAAACGCTCTGTGCCCGTGAGCTCTCTGGCACGATAAATCTCCACTGTAAAAGAGAAGGGGGCAGCCGGGCGGTGAGCAGGAAAGGCCAGAGGACCGAGCGCGAGGAAGAGACCGAGCCTGCCAGAGTAAAAAGCCGGACGTCCCGGAAAAGCCACTGGGGCTCAGTCTGGTCAAATAAGTGCTTACTGGTCCTCACCGAGATTCGGGGGGTCGCTGTAGGTCGGCGGCATCTCCGGGGGCCTGCCTCTGCGCAGGGCTGCGAAAGCCGAGCCCTTCCACACGACTTTCTTGAAATCTTCAAAACAGAAGAGGAAAAACGAGGCTCTTGGCAGCTGCCGGACAAAGGGGCCCTCGAGCCGACGGCGGAAAACGAGCGGGGAGACACGCATCAGCACGCATCACCTGAACGACTCGCACCTGACCTGCCTGAGGACACACACACACACGGACAGAGACACCACACAAAGGCGACAACAAACACGCATCCCCTCGGAAATGCTACAGGAAGTGCTGCAGAAACCGAAAACCCAAGAGCCGAGTGAAAAGGGGGAGGAGCAGGCAGGACTCCCTCCGGGCGACTCTAGTGGAGCCCAAGACAGGGGAAACCCAAGCACAGTCATCAGGGCCACTCAACCTCCCCGGCGCCCGCAGCGGTTTCACCAACAGCCGCGCCGGAGGAGCCCCTGCGCCCCCGCAGAGCGCCGAGGCGGGACAGCGGGACCGTCACCTTTGTCCAGGCGCAGCGCGGAGTGGCGGCCCGCCCCCAGCAGGGACCCCACGCCCGGGACGCAGGAGGGGACCTGTCTGTCCAGCAGCGGGCCCAGCTGGCGGCAGATCTGCAGCAGGTGGTCCGGGGCCACATGGCTGTTCGCCCGAACCTGCGGGAGCCGGAGCGGAGAGACAGGGTGAGAATCCGGGCGACAGCGCAGACAGCGAGGATCACAGAAACATCAGAACAGGGGTTTATCCTGCTCTCTTTGTGCTCAGCTCACCGTTAGGGTTTTTCTGCCAACCTGGATAGACCGGCTATTTACTAGACACAAGAAGGATTTTTCTGTAAATCCTTTAAAGTTGCAGTTTGGAAACAATCACTGCACTGAAGGTATAATACCCTATAAAAGGCCATGAAGTGCTGTTTTATGTATTACAATTAGGAAGTAAAATAAATAATACAGGCAGCTATGAAACAGATCCCGGAAGACATCATGCCCGCCAGGAAACAGGTTTCAGGCCCATCCTTCAGGAGTTACTCATTATCACAACGATTTCAATGTCTCCCCCAAACATTACAGATCCACAACCTCAAGCGTTACAATCTTCCTTTGAACACAACACTAAAGGTTCACCACGATTATCCAGTACCATCCAGCCTCCAGTCTAAAGTTAAGACTAAACAAAGACTCCCAAGTTCATTTTTACTGTGTATAGGGGCCCCACAAACAGAAATAACACTCTGTCCTTACTGGACATCTGGGTTTAACCTACAATGCATTAGGACTCACTAATTATTTTTTTAGAAAACCTGAGTGCCAAACAACCTCTTAATCGCAAGACTGAATAAAATGCCCCGTCTCCCAGGCAGGTGTAAAACTGCAGAACTAACCCCTGCACACACAAAACAGCTCATTGGCTCATCGATTAATTTCAAACAGAGAACCTCCTCCCACCTACAATGTCAGCTAGCACCAAACTACAGGGCTGCACGTCTGCATGGGCCGAAGCCCGAGAGATGCGGTGCAGCCGCAGACGGGCCCCTGCGTGTCCACCTGCGCAGAGCCGGCAGCCGGCAGGGGGGCTCCCCAAGGCACGCCTTCACACGCTCCCGGCCAATCGGAGCGCTGCTCCGCGGCGCAAGCGGGCTTGTGATTGGCCGGGGTCGGCGCTCGTCACCGCGCAGTCCCCGCCCCCGCACGGTACCGCAGCACCTGGACCGGAGCGGCTCTGAAACCCGCTCATTACTCGCGCTTACCTGGCGAGGGACGGGAACCGCACGTGTTAGAAGCCCACAAACAGAACCTGTGTTTTTGATTCGTGTAATAATCGAGGTTTAGGGAGCTGAAAACGGCAGCTCCGTTTTTGTTTTAAAAGCGCCCGTGGGTCTGTGTGCCTTTTGCTTTATTTTCCTTACAGAGCCCCGCAGAAACTCTCACCCCCCCCCGGAGGAGCGAGAATGAGCGTTTTTAAGACACTTAGGGGGGGAGAAAAGGCTCAAGCCCCCAGCCACCCAGCCCCCGCCCCTTACCAAGTCTTCGTAGGAGCGAGGGTGCTCGTCTCCTCGCCAGTCCAGGCGCCTGGGCAGGAGCTTGTGCAGGACAGAAAGAGAGAGAGAGGGCGGGTGAAAATGTTAACTGAGCGTCTCCCACCCGCAGCCCGGTGCAGCCTCAGCCTCAGCAGCTGCTTTCGTGATGTCAGACAGCGGGGACGGGGGGGGTGACCGCAGCCACGGCGGAGACGTACGCACCTCGTACTCCTCCAGCTCGCTCGCCAGGACCTGCGGCACACAGAAACACAAAGCCCAGCCGGGTGAGCGCCTGCTCGGTCACAGGGCAGCCCCCCGGCGCGCCCCCCCGAGCGGCCCCGTGCGGGCTCACCTGCGCCGCTCTCCGGCAGGGGCCGGTCGTCAGGAAGCGGGAGATCAGGTAGTACAGCTCTGCAACGACACGGACAAGAGGCACGGATGAGACCCAGCGTCGGCACGGAAAGTTTCAGCTGCTGCTCCCCGCGACGTGTGTTGTTACCCTTTCCCCTCTGCGCCTTACCCGACTCGAGGAGCGAGACACTCTGACTTTTGGCCGTCGTGCCGGCCATGGTTAAGTGGGGGAGGCGAAGGAGGAGTCGTGGTCTGTTTTCCCCCCCTACGGTAGCAGACGGAGAGAGAGAGAGATATTTATTTATTTCGGGTGGCAGCGCTCTGACCCCCTCCTCGGCCGCTCCCGCTCTGCGCTCAGCCCGCTCCGGTCGCCATTGGAGTGAGCAGGCCGGGGCTGCGCCGTGTATACTTCCGCCGGCGCACAGGAAGCGGGGGGAGGTGGGGGGGGAGAGGGAAAATAGTCCCTCGCCGCTGCCCCGCGGCTGCGGGCTCGGCGCGCTTGACGGAAACGCGGTATGCGGCTCGAAAGGAGGCTTCGCGGTGATCCCCGGCCGCCTTTCCCCTGCTGTTTGCGCCGCGCACTGGCGATGCCGGGCTGGTTGGGAGACGCTGCCTGGCCGTGTTTTTCCGCGCTGTGGTTCGGCCCGCCCTGGGGGGGTGACGTCACCGCCGAGGGTGCTCGTGGGCATCCTCTGCGTGTGGAGTGTAAACACGCCGGCAGCCCACGGCACGGCCCGTAAAAGTAAACACCACCCCTGCTCGTCGACGGTTCTGCTTCAGTCCAGCAGCTGAGTTGTTACTGCGGGGCCCAGCTCAGGGAAGTCGTCATGATAATAATATAATAATAAACTTTTTTATATAGCGCCTTCTCTAAGCACTTTGCAGAATGACAACAATAAAAAACAGACAGGATCTGCACAGTGAGAATAATTATAATAATTGCTGACACTTGTATAGCGCTTCTCTGGACACTCCACTCAAAGCGCTTTGCAGGTAATGGGGATCCCCTCCACCACCACCAGTGCGCCAGTACACTCCCCACACACCAGCTCTCAGTGGGGAGAACGGAGGGATGAAGGCAGTTCAGAGATGGGGCTTATTAGGAGGCCATGATTGCTAAAGGCCAAGGGGAAATTTGGCCAGGACACTGGGGTAACACCCCTACTCTTTTCAAGTAACACCCTGGGATTTTTAATGACCACAGAAAGTCAATACCTCGGTGTTACGTCTCATCTGAAGGACGGTGCCTGTTTACAGTCTAGTGTCCCTGTCACTGGGGTATTAGGACCCACAGCCCGTGGGGTGAGTGAGGATACACTGAGAGGAGACAGTAGATTTGGGTACTGGACACAGTAGGAGCGGAGGGGTAAAGAACAGAACCAGTTAAGTGAAGGCTCTTCTAAGACACCAATTCCAGCTGCTACGCATAGTTTTGCCCTTTTCTCTCACAGCTGGATTGTGCCCTACCTTATGAGGAGAGGCTGGAGCTCCAGACCCTGTTAACTGCACATCAGTAATGGTTCCTTGCATTTAGGGCCCAACTGAAACCCCCCTTGAGTAACACTAGAGAAGCATGTGAGAGAGAATGACGCTAATAATTAATAATAATAATAATTGCTTACACTTATATAGCGCTTTTCTGGACACTCCACTCAAAGCGCTTTACAGGTAATGGGGTCTCCCCTCCACCACCACCAGTGTGCAGCCCCACCTGGATGATGCGACAGCAGCCATAGTGCGCCAGAACGCTCCCTACACACCAGCTCTCAGTGGGGAGGAGAGCAGAGAGTAATGAAGCCAATTCATAGATGACCTTTAGGAATCCAACTGTCTGCTCTAGTTTACTTCACAATTGTTTTCCAGAGAATTGCAAGTCTGTGTATACACCTGAAACCGCGCATATCGGAATTACATGGCTCCCCATCAGGTAATTCATGCAGATGATTTCATACATAAATGCATTACATTCAAATCAGTTGTCACATGGACAGTCAGAAATTAGACGATCTCTACACCTTGGGGACTTTCTGCATTAATGGCAGTAGTAACTACATGTACATGTGGTCAGGAGGGATTTCTAATGCCATCACCTGCAGCCTCTACCCGAGTTAATAACCTCACATCACCGGGCCACAATCCGCCTTCCAAATAAGAGCAAATCCAAAGTGCTTTCTTGCCTTCCTTTATTTTGCCACTTACATGGTCTTCCCCAGATTATCTCATGAACTCCTCATGCACTATCGTCCAGCCAAAGAACGGTGCCGCTTACACACGTTGGCCTCAGCTTTGCACCAGGCAAGAACAGCAGCTGCTCTGGTAGACGCATACGCTCCAACAGGGCCCCATGCAGCACAGAGCGGTCTCCAAGCCGCCCTCTTCCCTCGGGAGGTAGGTCTGGTGGCCACCTCGTCCAAAAAAACACGACGCTCCTCAAACCCCACGGGTGCTCAGGTCAAAAGGTTTGTCACTCCTTGGGGAAAACGTACACGAACGCCCAAGAAAACGTAAACAACTCGCAAACTTATAACCGGTTTTTTATTGGTTCTTTTACACCCATTATTACACAAACACAGCTATGACCAAAAACAATAACAAATCTGTACATTTGTACTTGTCAGCGAAAAGCCACAGGTGGCCATCACCCATATCCTGGCAAGAGCACTCGGTCCCAGGAGCGCACAGGGACGCCGCCAGCTAGTTTGACACTGTTGCGCACGGCCGGTTATTAGCTTTGCTAAGAACACCAGCACCCCTTTTACCCTCCTTCCAATGTACCATGACACCACACACAGACTTTTTTTTTTAAAAGATCCTTTCACAGCACTTGTACACCATCATCGCAGAGCCCATCACCAACAATCGGACGACACACAGGACGCACGGTTCGGACACGGTGGACGCGCGCACTAGGGAACGTATTTATTTAGCAAAACAACCGATTGGGGAAAACTGCATGGGTATAAGGGTTAACATTTATACAATACAGCTTACAAACAAACATTCTAAAACTTTTTTTTTATAAACAATAAAACCACATATCGCCCCCCCCCCCACCCCAGATAACCTCTTTTTAACCCGTTCTGGCAGAAGCTCAGCAAGACTTGGCCCCCCGTCAGGAACATGGCAGGGGGACCTCCAGGAAAAACCAGGCGGGAGGCGCGAGTCCTGCGGGTGGACCAGTAGGTGGCGATCCTCCCCGTATGAGCGCCCCAGTACACAGACTGGAAACGTCATGCTGTAGGCTGTGCCGTTAAATCGAGGTCCCAAAAGTTCCCACAGGTCTCTTGGTAAGAGTCCCAGTCTGGGGCTTCTGGCCTCCCTAAAGTTGCCCCCGAATTCAGCTGGTGCAGCGGTTTCTCACTCCTCCGCCGAGCTGCTGTGGAGAGGGGCTGCTGGTGCGTCGCCCACGTAGGGGCGGCACTTCAGCGAGGGCTGAAGTAAATCCCCTCCCACACGCAACACGCGTCGGGATCCTTTGGGCTGAAAAGACCCAGGCAAATGCGAGCCACCCCTACTTAGTTCAATTCGAAACCGTTCCTCGCCGGCCCACAGAATGTTAGTCTCTCGGCGCCGCTCTCCGGACCGTGGAACAGGAACCCCAAAACGACACGATTGCATGTAACCCCTCCGGCAACCTCCCCCCTCCCCCGTTTAAAATGAAGCCTAGACATTTACAGTCACAACAGTTTTTGCTCCGGAAATGTAAAAATGTGGGATGTGGTGAAATCCCTTTGCCGCCTTTTTAAAAAAAAATGTGTTTCTACAATCAAAACTACTAAAAAACTTGCATTTAAAAAATAGTAGATAAAAATATTCCTCTGAATTGTACAAGAAAAGAAGTACAGGGATCCCTGGTAAACGACGCGGAAGGGATTTTATTCCTTCTCTCCGTCCTTCTGGTTGGATTCGTCTGAAGCTGGAGCCTGGAGCCAGAGAAGAGAGAGGAGTCAGACTGGAGGAAGCAAGGCTGCACGTTCTTCCACAGACACACCGCAAGACGCTCCAGCTGCGGAGTCAAGAGGTGATCGATCGATTTGTGTGTATTGATACACAGTGGACTACACAGAAGGACCCGATTTCTAGTTCTGACGCAGCTCGGTGGATGAAAAGCAGTGCTAGAGCATCAGGAGATTTTCCTCCACATGAAACTCCCCACTATAAGAAAAAAAGTGAGCAGAGGTCACTGCTTTCTAAGTAGATACAAGGGTCCTTTTCGCTTGAAGGTTCGTGTTATGTAAATGTTAATGGTTCTGAAAGTCATAACATTTATAGTTCCTGGTTACCTTATTAGAAAGTCAAAACAAAAAAAAAACAAAACAACGTCACAGAAACTTTTTCGGGATTAACGGTGCAGTTCCTACTCAGAACCTGAAGTCCCAGTGTCAGGTAGCGGGGCTTGTCTGACGAGTTGCGGTGCCTGTGGATTTACACGAGACCTTTCACGCCCGGGTAACAGGTGAACCTGGTTCACCTCGGGCTCCGCAGGTTTCCCACACGGATGGCAGTGGAACACGAGGCCCAGGGCCGGTGGGAAGACGCCTCGGCCACAGTGGCCTCCCCAGCCCGTGTCACCACCGCGACTGCACGTGGGAGGACTCGGCGGGCGGTTGTCCGAATTCTCTTCCGGCTGACCGTCTGAAAGAGGTCTTCTGCCTCAGGACCCCCCCACTCACCTCGTCCGCCTTGGCCTCTCCGTTCTCCGCAGGCACATCGTCCTTCTTCTTCTCCTCCTGCTTGGCCTCGTCGTTCACCTTGGCTTTCTTGGGCTTTACAGGCGCCTTCTGTGGCGAGAGCACGAGCGTTACTGCGCGGGCCAGCTCCTACTCCCCCGCACACTCCCACCACCCACCAGCCTCCATCGCGAAAGGGCTACATCTAAAGCCTTAAATATCGTGGAGGAAAAGCAAAGATCCCCAGTCTGTGCAAGCTGAGAGTGCTCCCAAGATCTGGCATTGAAACAAAACGTCACCTTTTTCATACGGAAGTGCTTTTAAACGTAGTTAATACAAGTGTGTAAAATGACCCTGGTGGCACTCAAGGGGACATTGTTCTGTAAAAAAAGGCACCGTCCTTCGGGCGAAAAGTACAACAGAGGTCCCGATTCTCTGTGAGCCTGGCCAGTACCTGGATGGGAGACTCCTGGGAAAGCTCATGTTGCTGCTGGAAGAGCTGTCAGTAGGACCAGTAGGGGGCGCTCACCCTGTGGTCTGTGTGGGTCCTAATGCCCCAGTATAGTGACTAGAGCGTAAAAAGGCGCCATCCTTCAGGTGAGACGTAAAACCAAGGTCCTGACTCTCTGCGGTCATTTAAAATCCCAGGACCTAACTCGAAAAAGAGTAGGGGTGTAACCCCGGCGCCCTGGCCAAATTTCCCCCTGGCCTTTACCCACCAAGGCCTCCTTATAATCCCCGTCTCTGAACTTGCTTCATCACTCTTTTCGTCGCCGGTCATGAAGTGATTACAGCCACCCACAGTAAAGACCCTGGAGGGCTCATGAACCCGGGCCTGCTGATCGCTCAGGTAACCAATGAGCTCTGGACCCGGTTACATCCTCACTGCAGTCCAGAGCCCAAAGCGTTTCCATCGTCTCAGCGTACCATTCTCAAGTTTACTAGAATCATATCTCAACAGCACTGTACACGGACTCCTAACAGTACTGTAATATCAGGACAGGAATGCCTAGTTCTCAGCCTGCGATGCCAGTGTGTCTCTGGGCATCCTAGGTCTCTAAAGTTCTCCTAGCTCACAGGAGTTAAACTGGACCCATAAATCCAGCAATTAACTAATTTACATGGCGAAAAGCAGATGTGAAATAAACACCTGCAGACACAACAGACAGCAACAAACGTGGCAGGAACTGTAACTGGAGAGTGAAAATGTTCTTTACCTTTGACTTGGGCTCTGGCTTTGGTTGAGAAGGTTTCTGCAAAACAAACCGCCCCTCCCCCAACGTTAGTCACAGTCCGGTCCAGAAGACCAAGAAAAAAATAGCGTTGAGGTGCTCCAATGCGACACTTACGTTTAACAGTCTCTCCGATCTCCTCTTGGGCTGTGAAAAAGGAAAAGAGAAATTAGTCTGGACGCTCCTCTCTGGACTTCGGCGATGGCCACTGAGATGCCCAACGCCCCGACAACAGGCACAGGATTAGGGTTTCCCCATTTTTTACGGACGTTATCTTGTGATCTAATTCCCAACAATTTGCTTATGCATTTCATTGAACTAAACTGGCATGAAGCAACCCATGACTAAGTCCAAAAATACAATGTGGAGTGTCTCATGGAGCAATAATCATTTCCGTACAGGTGCATTTCAAAACGCAAAAAGCCCTGTACAGTGCGCAATACCTACAGCAGAATTACAAAACCACAGCAAGATGCTGAAATAGGTCCAAGAGTAAAATTCAATTCTATGTTTTCACCTCCACTCTTAAACCCCTTTAAGCTGGTTTTTAAACACCTTGGCAGTTAAGAGTCTCTGATGGACTTGGAAACCTAATTAGTAGCTAAACCACAACTAAGCTCAAGACTGACACCTGCTGGCAGGGATTTAAACAAGCAGCCAAAGTAACAGACATGCAAGGAGAAAACTTGTTTCTGTAATGTTTTAAAGATTTTGTTGTTCAAAATAATTCCCAGTATTTCACATCCAACAATTTTCTACCATTGTTTAACTTAAAACACATAAACCTCACACCAACATGAATAAAAGAATCACCTCATTTGCTTCAGTTTCTGCGTTTGTCTGAAAAAAAAAAGATGCAGAAGTCATTAGATATAAACAGAGGCTACTACACATGACAATGATACAATCTGCCAACACATTTCTAGGATTGACCTATATGGGGGCAAACACTGGACATTACCAAGGATTTAACCACTTACACGGATGTGAACAACACACTCAAGACAAGATGAAAACAGTTTAAAGCCAGAATCAATCTTTCCAAAGTGCAGATCTGTATGTCATGCATGGAAAATATGAAACTGCCTGTTTGCATCAATCTCCAGGGTAAACGTGTGGATGAACACAGGTTCACACATGTGCCTGATGCCTCTCCCCAAACTGACTTGCATTTTGCACACCTCCACACAGCCAGGTGTTTCACTGCAGCAGCCTGGGCCAGGCACCTTGCTCAGCGGTACAGCAGCCGTCTCCAACAGGGCCTGAGCCCACAGCCCTCAAGTTACAGGTCCAGAGCCCAGACCTGCTGCGGGGCAACGGGTCTGGTGTTCAGGTGGAGAGGGGTGCTGGACATTCAGAGAACTCGGGGACTCCCAGAGTGTTTAGGGCCCGTTTCTTTTCTGATGAGCTGAGCTCAGGTCGATTTTCACTCTCCCCACTGCTCCATGAGTGATGCAGAACAGATATCTCGCCCTCAAGGGCCAGAGACCCCGAGTGCACTACCTGCTTAGTCGATCCACAGCTTTCAGGCGATGCCCACCTCTAGAAACGGGTGATCTGGGGGCAGCCTGTCCACATGCACCCGGTTTCACGGCAAAATCCATTTACCCACTGAATTTTCTGCGATTTCCCTCACGGGATCTCTAAAGCATCTATCAGTCATGGGATTTGATAGATACGGGTCTCTTGCCTAGTCCTGTGGGGTCCCTCGTTCAGCTGGTTTTATAAACACGTCTCCTACTTCTACAGGCCTGGAATAGCTGTGGCCTGCTGATTCACCAGCAACAGGTCAGAACAGCCCCAGGCCGCGGGAGCAGGGCTCGCCGGAGCTGAACACGTGACTTTCAGACCCGGTCCATCACCTACACGTGTCCCCGAATTGTCAGGCTGGACCGTGTGGCTCTCCGGGGGGGGAGGGCTGCCAGTCCGGTTCTTCAGGCTCTGGGGTGCGTGTCGCCCCCCACACCCTAGCCGAGGGGCTCAGGAGGCGACACGCCCAGCCCGCCCTCCGAGAAGCGGCTGCAGCGCTCACCGACCAGCCGAGTGGGTTTGAAACCCACGCAGCTGACACGCTCGCAAACAAAGGCCCGTGGACACAGCGCCGTTCACAAGCGGACCACGACGCAGGGAAAGCGACTGTCACCGGAGCGCCGCGCCGCTGGTCCTCCCAGCTACGTCACAGTCAACAATCCCGCCCCCCGCGGCCTGCCGGCTCCCCCATTGGCTGGCGAGGCGGCGGCTTCAAAGCGCCCCCCGCGACGTCACGCCGGCCGCTCGGCCTTCGCGCCACGCGTTCGAATTTCGAACTCCGAGATGCTCCGCGAGCCCTGCGGCGGCCGCAGAACGTGCTAGAATCCGCCGCTGCCCCGGCGCTGTCGGAGGGTCGCCATTGCAGCGGCTCGGCGGCGCCCGGGCGGGAGGGGGCTGCACACGGCGGGGGCAGCTTGCCCAGGTGCGGGCTGAGGGGGGCCGGGCCGAGCGGCCCCGCAGCCCCGCCAGTCCGGGAGCACTTGCGCCGCCTCGCCTCTCTAGTGCGGGAACAGACCCGCAGCGCTCAAGTGCTCGAAAAGGGCGCGAAGCACAAAGGGCATTTCAGAAGTTAATTAAATGAGCGTTTAAAATAAGTTCTGTTCCGCCGATCGGCACCGAACCCCAGTGACGCCCCTTTGTTGGGAGTACATTTAAAAAAAAAATTCAAATTAAAAAGAAAACACCCTGGAGCGTGTTTTTACCGTTAACGTGAAATATCCAGTCTCTCTCTCTCTCTCTCGCCCACCGCAAGTTTGTCGAGGCGAAAGGGTCGCAGCAGAGACACAACAAGAGGCGCCACTTCTTAAATCCGAGCGCAGACACGTTTAAAAGCCCCGTGAGCTCAAGTCAGAAAGTGTATCCCCACTGCAGCCCCGGTACATTCACCCCGCCGCAGCACACGAACGCGAACTGAATCTTATTTTGCACGTACTTCGTCAAAATACGTGCTGCATGGCTAATTACTGCATTGCTTAATTACAAAACACCGTCTCCAGGCTCGCACGCAAGAGGTTTAAATAGTGCCGCTTACTTTGTTCCTCTTCGGCATGGTGGCCCTGTCGTCTGATCGCCTTTCCTTACGATGGGGACAACAAAATCTCGCTTCCCAGAAAGACCCTTCAAAATAAAGCGCTACTATGCCCCCGTATTAGATGGCAGCAGGACTGTCTGTTGTAAAACAGCCCAGCCAGACGTTAATATTCCAGCGGAACAGAAACTAGCTCAAACCGGATTGGATCGCCTCCTTCTCCGCGCTATTCATTACAGCACCAGCCTGACAGGCAGCGCTCTGCCCGCCCCCCGGCGCTATTGATTGGCCTGCGGGAGCCGTCGACACGATTTTAAATCAAAGCAAGACACCTGTGTGGGTAGGTCAGTGTGCCAGTCAGCCGGGCGGGGGAGTCGCTGGCTGGCCGGCGGGGCGGACTGGCTGACTGTGCCCACCCCCCCCGGATAGCGAGTCCTCCTTCCCCACTGCAAGCGCGACTAGCTCGCCGCACGGTGTTCCGCCCCCCTGCGGCGGCGCCCGTCTAGCTGAGGCCCGGCCAGTGCACGGTGCTGCTATTGCTGCTGCTGTTGTTGTTGCTGCGGGAGTGAAACGGGACAGGCCCGCGCGTGTGCGGGCTCGCGAGCGAGCGCCGCGCGGGGTCAAGATGGCGGACGGCTGCGCCTGGATTCTCGTGCTCGGGTCCGTGCTGCTGTGCAACCTCGTCAAGGCGCTCCTGCCCACCGTCTCCTCCCTCGTAAGTGGGGCTCAGCGGGTCGGGTTCCGCACTGGGCAGGGTTCGCTCATCGAGTACGCGTCGCCCACCCGTTTCGGGTATACCGAGCGTTAAACTGGGAATGAAATATCGGGCAAAAGCGTGTTTATAGACGGTCCCTTTATATAAGAAAACTCATGCATATATATATATAGTTCAGGTGGGTAGCTGCGACAGTATGCGTAGGCCGAAACGTTGTTTTCTTCTTTTTTTTCAGCATGGAATAAACCCATTACTCGTTCCTTTGCATAGACTGTATATTCCATCCCGTGCGCTCCGCGTGTCGCCTCTGAAGCCGGGCGTGAATGTGACGTCATGTTTGTCCGGGCAGGCTCCCCCAGTCCGGTGCACATGAGCTTGCATTTCACTCCCGGCTGGCAACATGCGATAAAGCCAAGACACACGGGCCTTGTCCCCTGCATCTCGAAGGTATGGGTGTGATGTTAAGTAGCAGAACACATTGAAAAGGTGCTGCTCTAAATTGCAATGTGCCGCCTCTGTTTTGTCAGACGTGCGGTGAAATGGCGTGTCCTGTTAACCCTCTGAGACTCTCACAAGGCTTTTGTCCTGTTGAGGTGTAGGTGTTTGTCATTTAGGGTAAGAGCAGTGTTTAGATTGACAGTTAGGTATTAAAGAGATGATAAGGGGTGTATACTCTGACTGGGCTGATGTAATTAGAAGGTGCACAGCTCTTTCGAAGTCAATGATCTAGATGCTGGTTTAGTTAGTGAACTAGTCAAGGTTGCAAGTGATATGAAATCAGGACAACTAACAAACACTTTAAAAGCAACTGATGAAATTCAAAACTATTTTAGGTGTATATATACACGACAGGGCAGACACTAGGCAGGTGGTGGCTAAGGTAGACAGATGTTTGATGTTCGGTAATGCAACTGCAGGATATGACAAGCAGGTCTCTGTAGGTGTTTAATTAGGGAAGAAGAATTCATTTCTCCTGCTCTGTTGAGAACAGCTAAGCCTCCAGACGCAAAGGTGCATCGCAGACCTGGCAGAAGTTTGTAGTTCAGGGTGTGTGTGTTCTGGGGTAACGTCTCTGGGTAGAAGGGCGCTCTTACGAAATGGTGCCGATTTGGTTTCAGGCAGGGAGCTGTGCAGAGATGCCCCTTTGCCCTTCTGAATGTTGTGTAGCTATTCTAGGTAGTAGCAGCAGAGCCAGTGAACCCAAGGGAAATCCATTTAAGGAGATTAGTTGTCACTGAAGAGAATACAGAGTATTGATCTGGTATTGTCCTCACTTATCAGGTTAAGCCCAGTTATGGTATCCTAATACGATTCTCTTCCATGATCACGTTAAGTGCAGCTGTTTTTTTTCTCCTGTAAAAAGGCATTTTTAAAATGTAAACCCCCCACACCCACACACACCCTGCTGCTTACAAACAGGTAGTATCGACGGGGGGGGGATCTTTGTTTTGTGCCTCGGATGCTGGTTGAGGAGAAAGAGTAAGTAGTAGTAGTAAATCAGCATGATCTCCGTATCGCCTGGTCTGCCAGACCCCAGACACCAGGCAGGGCACTGGGGTGGGAGACCACTGAGGGAAAGCAGGCTGCTGTGCATGTACTGTCTACCAGTAGGTGGTGCTATGTGGCTCAGAACTTCAGAAGTAACACTCAGCATAGTGAGAAACAACTTCTTATTTCTCCTATGATCTGCTGTTTAGTGGGGCTGAAGGTACAGGAGGGGACAAGTGTGATGTATGAAACCTCTATTTATTATACTGTATGTAGACGTGTATGACATATGCACTGTAAACAATATGAAGTATAGTCATTCCTTTCCCAGTTCCTGTTGGAAGGGTGTTTGGGATCCTTTGGAGAGGCTGGTGCTGTATGGATACAGGGGATCCGTGTGAGCGTGTGTCACGTATTTTGAGTTTCAGGCTTTTCTCTTAGCACAAGCGGTGGGCACAGTGGGATTGCCGGTGTGCGTCTGTGACCAGGCAGTGTCCTTTCTGTTCCCCTCCCCCCCCCGCGCAGCTGTCCAGGATCCTGCAGAAGGACGCTGAGCAGGAGACGCAGATGCGCATGGAGATCCAGGACATGAGGCAGGAGCTCTCCGCCATCAGCATGATGGACGAGTTCGCCCGCTATGCCCGGCTCGAGCGCAGGATCAACAAGATGACGGACAAGCTGAAGACCCACGGTGAGGCCCGCGTCCCACGCGCTCCGGGGGCGGATTGCGGGCGCTGCCGCTCGCAGGGGACCAGTGCTCACTGGTCTGGGGGTCTGTGAGACGAGCCCTCGCAGCTGGAATGGGGCTGGCGGGCAGACTGGAGCTCTAGGCTGTTCCGCCAGCCTCCCTTCGCTGCCTGGGCACACCAGCAGTTCCAGGAGCAGTTTCTGTTGCAGCCCCTGTCTCCAGTAGCTGGAGCTGTTGAGTAGCATTGCTCTGCTCGTACTTCTTCATTGACTACGCTGTAACCCGCTCATATGAAAGGTGATTCATCCACAGTTTCACGAGGCGGAATCACGCAGGGATCCAATGGGATTGGGAAGCCAATGGGATCGTGACCCTGACGCCCCCCAGCTGTCCGTCACTGCTCAGTGCCTGGCCCTGCCACCCTGCTCGCTCGGCTGTCCCCCCCCAGTGCTGTGTGCTCAGGACCTGTATCAGGAGGCTGAGCAGCCAGGCAGTATTTATTTAGTAGCCTTTCCAGGCGCGCTTAGCGCATCGGAAAGAATAGCGGCGTGGCTTCAGCTGCAGCCGCTGCGCGGGAGCCATGTCTCGCCAGCCCCTCACCCACTTGCTTCTCTTGCAGTCAAGTCGCGGACCGCTCAGCTGGCCAAAATCAAGTGGGTGGTGAACATCGTTTTCTACATCCTGCAGGTGAGTGGGGGGGGCGGGCGGCACGTCGCTGTGGTGTCTGTCTGTCTTGTGCAAGCTGTGCCGTTCCCCCGGGGTGTGTCTCGCCTCTCTGCAGCGTGCCCTGCGATTGAGCGTGAAGGCCGTTGTATCCCCAGGCCGCTCTGATGATCTCTCTGATCTGGAAGTACTACGCTGACCCGGTGATGGTCCTGCCCAGCAAGTGGATCGCGCCCCTGGAGCGCCTGGTGGCCTTTCCGTCTGGCG